TAGAAAAAAACTAAGAAACATCAAAAGAAAATCAAAACAACTCATTTTAGAAAAAAGTTTTTTTCTAAAATTGTTGATTTTTTGAATAAAAAGGCGATTGAGTTAACTGCAGGTTGAATAATAGCTGGAGCTGAAATTATTCACAAAATTATAGGTTAATTAGATTGAGTGCTATTGAAGTTAAAATTTTAGGTCAACAAACTTCATAAAACCAAAAGTCAGACCCCTTTTTCTTAAAAAAAATTTTAAAATCCAAATCACTGAAGGAAGGGGCTTTAATGTGACGCCACACTTGACCCCCTAACAGCTTTTTTTGAGGTATTAGGATTTTAAAAAATACCCTAGACCATAAGTGGTTTCTCTCGTCCTTGTTAAAATGTTTGGATGACTCTGACATGCGTTGAGAATCTTTTTTTTTGTGAAAAAGAGAAGCCTAAAACGCTTTTTACCATGAAAATTAAAATTTGTTGCCATGTAGTTGTTATCCATTTATTTTTTCCATTTTTTGAAGAAAGTGGGGATTATATCTGTTCGGGTTTTATTCAGATTGATTTCACAAAGCACTTGCTCCCTCGGGAGATCGATCCCTCATTCTGCATAGGCTCATCCGAGAAAACTATTCGAAACTAATTCAAGGGGAGTCAAAACATTCGGGGCTGTGCCTTGATACGAGCAGTCTTGTTTCTTTATTCATACAGTCTGTATGAAGGATTTTCAAATAAGGAACGTGTATCCGGTTTGAAAAATTTGTGTATACAAAAACAAGCTACCCGATAGTCGCAATAACGTTGAAACGCTACAAAGTGCATGTAATTTGTCTTACTGCTTTGAAATTTAAATTCGTAATTTCATATTTATAATGAGAAAACAAGGCTGGCAGCTCTGTTTTTGAAAAACTATGCGAAAGTCTTGATATATTTCCAGTGTTAGTTCAGAAGTGGTGCGCCATTGGAAAACATAGGTAGTTGGTAAAGTGTCAACGAAGTCAAGACGGAAAAGAAACGCTCGACTTTCTTTTGAAAAGTTTTCATATTCTGAATTCCTAAAAAAAATTATCAGTTTAAATTCATTAAACAAACTAAATATCCAGCATCTGTTATGATTATTTTTTGACAAATATTGTATTTTGTATTGTAGTTCTCCCCAATAATTTATAGCCATCAGTAAATAAATTAGATTTAAAAAAAACAAGACTGCTCGTATCAGGGCGAAGCCCTGAATGTTCCGACTGCCTTTTAAGGTTTATGGAGCAGTAATAACATTAAAAAATTAAATGTAAGAAAAAATAAAATGAAAAATTTTTTTTTCTAAAATTTGAAATTTTTAATGAAAATCATCACCCCACACGCCATGCAAAGTACAAAGTACAAATTTTGCTCCTTGTAACAAACCAATTATGGCGAATAAGCGTCTTTTGACCAATTTGGAACGATTTCTGAGACGGATTAACTCTCCGCTTACGCGTTAATAGCGCGAAATGTATCGCGCGTTAATTGTCCCAAATTAGCCAAAATGGCAATCTTTAAAGCCCCATAACTTTACAAAAAAAGATCATAGGTAAAATATCTTTTCAAATTTGAGCTCAGGACAACAATACTTTTTGAATGATATAAAAAAATTCCGTCAAAAATGGCTAGTTAAAAAGTCGAAATTTGTCTGAAGAAAAAAAAAACCCACCCCGAGCACAAATATTCCGTTACTTTCGTATCGAAAGTCGGAACAATAAAGATGCAGTGAAATAATGAAATGAGCATCTTTATTTATTCAGATAAAAATTTGTAGCTCTACGCAACGCTTAGTTCATTACAAACAAAATGAGGTAGGACCGATGTGGTTAACTGATAGAGTAATTTCGGATAGGGTACACCGTCTGCTCGTCACGCTATCTTATTTTCGGCCGGATAGATTCGTGCAACTTCTTAGTCTAATACCGATCCTAATCTTACTCTTATACTTACTAGTCTCAGGGTGTTTTACTAGTCTCTGCTAGGCTCAATAGATTTAGGGTATACTGGTTTATTGCTGCTAGGCTCAATAGATCTAGGGTATACTGGTTTTTTGCGGCTGCTGAAGTTCTCTTGGATAGGCAACTAATTTCTAAGTTAAATTCAAATCTCTCTGTTGCTGAAATTACAAGTAATTCCAGCACTTACAAATAAGTGGGTTGTTAGTTGGATGGATTATGATTGGTTAATATTAAATATTTTACAGTGGTAAAACATTCAATTTATCCAATTATAAAATGTAGTTTAGATCATGTTCCAAAAACATGGATCTAATTTTGCATGAATGTGTTTTGAATGAAATCACAACGATTGTTTCAAGTTCAAAGAACAAATCTGTAACGAAGAGACTATATATTTTTGCTACTAGTCTGGGGCAGGGGGCGGGGCTATAGTGGGAAGAACCCAAAAATTGGATCGGTAGAAGATTGTAGAATATTTATATTGCTCATTCTCGTTCTTCGAATTAACTTCTTTCTTTTTATTGGAAAATTTAGGTTTTCTCTTACTTTTTTAAAAGGTAAATTTGAACTTATTTTAAGAAGAAAAATCAAAGAGCAAAAATGGGTTTGAAAAACATTTACGATTTTTCACTGAAAAAAAAGAACACGACATATTTGACTTCACTTTTATTGAAGCTTATAAATTAAAACTATCGAGCGATAAAATCTAATGCATCACGTTATTCTCACTAAAAGGACCAGCGTCAAAAAAAGACAGATACTCGCAGAGGAAGCAGGAACTGGTTTAAAACAATTTTTTATTTTATGTTTTGGTATTTCTCCTTGTAAAAAATTAATAAGAAACCAATCATGTTCCATTACTAAAACTTATGATAATTTGTACAGCTGAAACTACTCAGTTTCAGCCAGAGAAAGAATATTTCAACTTACGAAGCAGGTGCCTCTATCTTTCCTCTAACCTCGCAAGAATACCAGTATATACTAAATCTATCGAGACTAGGAAATAAAAAAGTAAGATTAGGAATGGTATACGACTCAGAAGTTGCACGAATCTATCCGGTCGAAAATAAGACGTGACGAACAGACGGCGTACCTTATACGAAAATACTCTATGAGAAGACCACCCTGGATCTTAACTAAAATTTTAAATCAAACTTATGGGATCTGATGTGGTTTCTTTGAACCCACTCATCTGCCAAAGGGTGACGGCAACGACTTTATTCAAAAGGAAAACTTTTCTGGAAGAAATGCGCTGTATACAAAGTTTATCAACCCTGGATACAAAATTTTTTTTTGCAAAATGGCCTTGTTTATACGGATGAAGAAAATTGGTTCCGACAAAAAGAAGAGGTTACAAATAAGTGAGGACTCTACTCAAAGATAAATTCACAAGTATACCCCAACTGGTCTAAGCCATCAGCCGTTTGATGGACATCTTATCTTGAGCACGTGCTTAGAAACCGACTCATTGAATTTTTTTTACCAGGAGTGGCTCTAAGGTGAGCAACTCTTTGAAAGAACCAAACTAAAAAAACGCTTTTAGGAAAAAAATAAAAAAAGATCATAACTCAAATTTTATCACCAAAAGTGCATGTATATGTAATGTAAAAATTTCACAGAGCAATAGAAACGAGCAGCAAAACGGATATGAAAACTCGACGACACTCCGACCATGAAAGGGCAAATCTATTGGTTTTGAAAACCGCAGTCACCATCCTTGCAGGATATAAAAAAATGGAGCCAATATAGCAGCAAAGGTATCCATTGAACAAGAACAATAGCCAACTCGGTATAGAAGCCAAAATTACGGATCCTTCTCACCTGACGCTTCACTCAGAGAAGTCAAACCTCATCTGACTACCCGATCAATACGAACGAATAGTTGAGAATGTACGTAGTCTCGCATTAACTTACAAAATCAACCTTCATTGGCCCAATATAAGCAACTTCAGTACGATTTCTCTGATTCACAGCAATCTCTCAATCTCAATTGATCTCAACAAAAATTTCTTTACTGACACAATCAATCAAAGCATTCTCCTCAATGAATCTATAGGACTCTCCATCCATACTTCACAAGAAAATTTTGCTTAAAAAAATTCCCAAACACTGAATGAGGGGAACAAAGAGGTTATGACTTAAAAATATTTAGAACCACCCAATCATTATCCATTACTAAAACTAACAATAAATTGTCAAGCTGAAACTATTCGTAGCCATTCTCAGTCAAAGAATTAATAATAAAGATTGAAATCAGTTACTTTCTTCTCTCTTCCAACTTCGCGATAAACCAATTTATAAGAAATATAAGATATAAGAGTAAGTTTAGGACTGGTATTAGACTAAGAAATGTACGCACCTATTCGGACGAAAACAGATAGTGTTCACCCTCAAACCCGAACAGACGGTTCACGCTTATCCAAAACTACTCCGTGAGAAGGCCACTCCGGACCTAAACTCAAAGCCTTTTTTGGAAAAATGTTTATTTTTGAGCTAGCGTTTTTTTACCCATTCCGCACTTTTTCTAACCGTAGAGAGTACTTTGCATAAAAATGTTTACTTGAAAGTCTCATATGAAAACATATTTTTCACAGGTAGGGCCAGATCTAGGAGGTTTTTCTCGACTGGTGGGGGGCGGATTTTTTGAAAAAATTTGAAAATTTTGTCAACTTTTTTTGAGCGACCAATTTGATTTTCTGAGCTCTCAAAAAATTTCTATGAAGAACTCATTTTGAGCAAATACTCTGCAACCCTATCAAATTTTTGGAAACGGACACACGCGTTTTTAACACTTTTTGAAAAGTTTTGACACCAAAGTTGTGTTTTTTGTCGCGCGCTTTCCTCTCAAAGTTAGTGTATATTGGCACCAAAGGCGCATTCAGAAAAATTTTAGGGTTAGTCAGCTATAATTGGATAATACCAAAGGGGCGACCTTTTGGGTCGGCAGTGTGGGTCGAATTCCTGAGGAAAGGAGGCTTCCCCTCTAAAACCGCGCCTGAATAAGGGTAACTATGCTCAAAGCATTTTAAAAAACTATTCAAATAATTTTTAATTTGGACCTGTATTGAATTTGATTTGAAATTACATTTAACCACCATTCAGTTGATTTTTAATAATACTGTTCGTACTCGAGAAACGACGACGAACTCTGTCGACGACTTCATTGACCAATCAAATCTCTGCTTTAGTCCATGTCAGTCGGCTCTGCTATCAGAGGAGCAGTGTATTCCGAATGTCGGATTCCGAACGAAAAAGCTGGAGCCGCTTTCCTTGTTGCAGTCACCTAAAAATTTCATAAAAGTAACACTTCGGGAAAAAATTGAGAGAATTAAATTTGCCCTTTCTTTTTCTTTTACAGCTGCAAAAAAAAATTTTTGCAGGTAAGAATATGTTCATTTATTTGTAAATATATTTGCTCAAAGTTGAAAATATTGAACAAATTCAACCAAAGCAAAACGCTCTGGACTGTTGGCAGAAAAAGAAGAACCAACAACTAAGTTAACAGGCGATAAGTTTTAGTGATTGAAGGTTGTGATTTAGAGAAAGAAAAATTTAAATTTTATAAATTTGAGAGAGAGAATAGATTTTCCGATACCGTCATTGCTTTTTTGTCCCCAAAACTCGTGTAATAAAAATAAACTCATTCGAAAACTTTTTAATGAAATATTTCTTTGTTTTTGACGTTGTTCAGACTTTTTCTTCGTGAGTTTTTCTGGTAAGATGCACCCCATCCATATCTTAACTCTGGGTTGACTTTTTAATGGGAGTTAATTTTGACGATAATTTCAGTCGCAGAAGTTATCCAGCTGAGCTTGCACTGGAACTCCCGCCCATTCCGAGTGTTTAATGCCGAACGAAAAAGCGGGCGCCATTCGCTTATTCGACAACACCTGTTCATTAAACAACATTATTTTACTCATAACTCATAGCAATAATTATTGCCATCCACCAAGCAGGAAATCATAGACATATGACATACGAGTTAGTAAAAAAAATTTAACGGAAAACTGCCTTCGACCACCAGATAAAAACCGAATGATTTTTTGGTACATATTCTTGGAGTTAATTTCATTGAGGTATCATTTCTGACCTTAAAAAAATTCAACGTATTTCGGATAAACTGGACATTGTGAATGTTCAAACGGCAATTTCTTGAAGGTAAAAGGGTAGCGAATGATGTGAACATTTCTAGCAAGGGGATAGGTAATGAGTTTGCTGCACGCCTGTACCTCATTATTATAATTAGCCGGTCCGGGGGTCATTTCACCAGCTTTAAACGTGACTGGATACTTTCCAATCAAGTGATAAGCAGGTGCCCTTTTTTTCATCACGTTGGGAGCCGGGGTCTTATATGCACCTGGTCCTGGTGTCTGCGTGAAACAAAAGTGTTAATCAAGGCAAGAAAAAACTAAAGAATACTAACGTTCTCTGGCTTGTGGGCTCCGGGCCCTGGCTTAGTAGTTGTATCCGAAGGCAATTCGTTCCTGGCAGTGATTGAGTAGCCAGGTCTCTTCTGCTTGTAGACGTTCGGATCCGTGGTCTTATACGCTCCTGGACCCGGAGTCTAAAGGTCATGTTAGGTCATGATGAAGGTTATGAAGCTCGTGCATGTATTACAATTTTAACCACGGGATATATCTTCAAAATTATGCACTAATTCAATTTTTTTTACAACAAAAAGTGAAATGTTCGTTGTTGAAACAACGAACATTTCACTTTTTGTTGTAAAAAAAAAAACATAATTGAAAATTCTCTCAATTTTTGAGAAATTTCCAGTTTTTCCATATATCTTGCAAGCTCATTGGTCGAACGAAACCCAAGGTATCAAAAAAAAACTATTTGTTACAAGGCATAATTACAGTGAATTACTACTAAGAATTCAATTGAATGATTAATGAATGACGCATATTGTCTTTGTTTTTTACGCATTCGGATGAGCAGATTTCGAGGATGCGCTCTCCTATTTGAGTGAGCAGTCACTCTAAGTAAATACCTTCTGCAAGTCCTCGCTGAATCCTCCCTGGTTCGGTCGGCTCCTCACTCCGTACGAGGGAGCTGAGCTTTTGTCTACACAGTTAGCTCCAACCGTAGTCGGCAAAGAGTACGCATTGGGCGCTAAAAACATTATAAGAACATTAATTCTAAAATCATTACATGTCCCCTGCGACTTTTGGCCCAAACTGAGAGCTTCAATCTTGGTTTGCTGGCTTTTTTTCTTTGTTGGTTTTCTTGGTTTCAAATCCCAAACTATGCAAAGCAGCAACTCATACACTGGGTTACTCTGTTTTTCTCACGCTCTTTCGCTTCTTACTCTTTCTGCTTTTTATTCTGGAGTTTTCGCCAATTATTTTTTTCGTTTTTCTTCTGTTTTTCATTTTCATGTTTTCTGATCAATACAAGTTGCCTTATATTAGTTACTAACAAGGTGTGTTGTCAGATTTTGACTGTTTGGTGCGTCCACCAATACTGTACTGAGGTGCGTTTCTGTACACCTGCTTGGTTGCCCCGTCCACTCCGTACTTGTCTGAAAGATAGAGAGAAAAGTGACAGATAGAACAGAGCCATAGAGTCCACTACGTTACCCGGGTTTATGTTAGGCGGCTCAATTGCAGTCCTCGCCGCCATTGAAAACTCGGGTGCTTTTCGCTTGGTAGGACTATGGTCCACCTTGTATGCAGCTACAAATCATACGACAATTAAATACCTGCTACAGTTAGACGCCTGATTTAAGAAGTCTTCTCACAGGAACTTGTTCGGAGCTAATTGGGTTTTGGTCACAGAACTTATGGTAGCCACCAAAATACCACTAGTCTGAAGCAATGCATATTCAAAGTGGCTCTTTTTCCTTTTTAACCCAATGAGCATCAAGTTTATAGTGTAATGTGGTAATTAAAAAGACCACATGTTTGTCATGACGTTATTAGTCTCAATGTCAATTTTCACAACAATAAGATTTTGCGAGCAATAATATTACATGTAAAATTTCGCAAGTGGGGGAAAAGGAAAAAGAGCTTTCAAAATTAATTAAAATTATCCAAAATTACCCTCAATCGTGCCAGCATAAAACTTCTAGGTCGGCTGTAAAAAATGCGAGCCAAAATAAAAAAGTGTTAGCGCAAAAAAAAGAAGATCTTAAATGGAAAAATATAAGGTTGCATGGGTTCTCTTACCAGGCGAGGGTGTCATCCACTGCTGCATGTCCGCGTGTCGTCCCGAGATGCTCGGCTGAGGCGCCCCTGCTTTGCCCTTGTTGGTCATGCCATCTGGGTTGTACTTGGGTCCAGGGGAGCAGTCATCTGTGAACTGCTTGCCCCTCCCTGCAATAGAGTAAGAGGGCAGCTTCCTCTTTGAGTTGCAATGGTCCTCCGCTCCTACTACAGATCTCAGCTGGTAGCAGGGTCCCGGACTGGAGTACATGGCGGCGATGGGCCCACGGGGCCTGGTTGGTTCAGGGACCCTAGAAAGTTGCATATTGCTAATAAAAGCAGTAACATTCAACTTCATATTACACTTGTTTAGCTCAAGTCAATATCCGAGAATTTGTGATTGATAGTCGGTTTCTTCTCGGTTTAAGGACATTTTTTGATTGTTCGAAAGAAGTCTGATAATGAAAAATGACGAATCTTCCTCTTTTAAGTAAGGTTCTGTCCATTACTAAGGCTGACTATTTCGCCAAGAAATTTGAACAATAAAGGAATATGAAAGAACTATTTTTAGAAAGAGCACAGATCTGTCTTACTTGTTTTGCATGGCCTGATAATGTTAGCATAACTCATGAAATTTTTCACAATTTCACTTTTCTTTGCCAAGAAAAACTCTTGTGAAAAACGTAAGTCTCGCTTTCCGTTTTCCCATCCCATTTGTAAAAAAAAAACTAGAGTTATTAAAAATGTTTTTACGGCAATTGTTGCATCTGAAAAAGCTTCTAGAAATGTGTTCACTTGCTTACGCAAAAACGTTTTATTGCAGTTTAGAACATCAAATAACATTTTAAACAAGCTTTCTTAAAATGAATTTTAAAAACTCAAAGGGGGTCAACTTGGAAAAGAGCAAAAGAGCCCAAGAAAATATGCAATGCAGTAGGGAAACTGGAAGCGAGCCAAAAAAAACCCAACCCTCAATTCCATACCGAACCCTCGAAAAGACACGTTCTTATAAACGAGATTCAAGCTTTGCACTTTCATAATTTTTCGTTTCTTTGACGAATCGAGGCTTTGAAGAAGTTTCTCAAGTGAGAATTGACTTACATGATTGAAGGTGATGTATGGTATTAGATGGTAAATAGACACCAAACAAGAGGTTAACAATTAACCCACGTTAGCTATGATAGCACGTTTTTATTAAAAATAATGGCTTTTGTTTTGGTTTGACGGCGATTTAGCGGTACTGGTTTAAAGCGCACCTGCAAATTTATAATTTTTGTATCGACTTGGTGTGATTATATTCGTTATGACAAATAAATAAATATTAGATCTTATGTGTTTTCTTCACATTCAAAAGGTCTGCAGATTGTGAGGAGTTGCTTGGAAACAATTGTTCTCAGCTACGCTCAAATGTACAATAAAAATTATATCTACGTTAAAAAATATTCGAATGGTATAATGGTAATTTTGCTGCATTTTATTACACTTGACTAGCGTTTAACGTAATTTAAAGAGATTTTTCAATCAAAATTACGTTTTACATGGACCAAAAAAATCGAGAAGTCTCAAATATGAAAAGTTATATGGCTGGTCCAATTTGCGTTAAATTAAGCTAAGTGATGACTTTAGATGGCTCGTCTATAATAAATATCTTTCGCATAGAAACATTAAAAACAATTAAAAACATCAAATCGTATTCTGATTCAAAATTTTTTGACCGCATAAATGGACATACTTTTACAGGCACACATCCATCAAAAAACAAGAAACATGGAAAAAAACTATACTATAAAATCAGAATTATTAGGAAATTTTAGTTTTGATTAGAACCCAGCTCTTGACTTCATAAGCTTGAACAAAATTATATAGATACATAAAGGCGCGGATCTAGGATTTTCTCGAGGGGAGGGGGTGGTCGGATTTTCGAAAAAAATTTGTCGACCTTTTTTTAGTTGACCAAATTGATTCTCTGAGCTCTCCCAAATACTTATACGGACCTTTTCGACCATTTTTTTTTGCGCCGCTTTCGAATTTTTCAAAAAACAGGCCAAAATAGACTCCCACATCAAAATTAGTATATCTTGGCGCCAAAGGTGTCTTTTGAAAATTTTTAAGGTCACTCAGCCAAAAGTGGGTATTTCAAAATAGTACACAGGAGGGACCCATTGGGTCAGCAGGCGGGAGAATTCTTGAGCGGGAGTCGTACGCCCGACCACGTCCTCGTTCCCCTGAAATCCGCTGCATATTTCTTAAAAAGAATTACATGGGCTCTTTTCCAGTTCTCCACGTTTGATTTTTTTCTGAAACTAATCATATGAAAGTCTATTCAAAATTAATTTTCATGTTATAAACTGCATCAAAACGGTGTCAGTGCGAACAATTTTTGAACAGCTTAATTTTGTGAATTTTCGTAAATTTTTTGAACAGCTTAATTTTGTAAATTTTTGAACAGCTTAATTTGAGTTGGGAAACTGGAAAAAAAGCCCGTGTAATCATAACAGCATTGGTACCCACCTACCCAGAGCTGGAATAGCATGTAACATTACTACGAAAATGGAAAACTAGCTGGAGGGGGAGGAGGAAGGGGAAAAGAGTGCCAAACGTGAGAGCGGTCCACGGGGAATAGGGGCCAAAAGTATGCCAGGAAAGAAGTTTATAGATAAAACATGAAAAATGATTGATTGAAACTGTTTAACTTACGCTGCTTGAGAAGTTTTACTGGTTGATTGGTTGCAACTTTGATCAGGGTAAGACGTAGTAACGCTTTCAGAAGATGGTATTCACAGCCGGTCAGATTTGTTAAAAGTATTGGTTACTCTACGAGACGCTTGCTTGGTTGTTCGGGATGTCGGGTCGGAATGAGAAGTCACATTAGCGGAATTACACACGTGCACAGGAAAGACTTTGATTATAGCCATCATCATGTTCGACGAAAAGACTAAAAAACAAAAATGTACATATTGTCTTTTTTTTCTCACCCAACCCAGAATTTTTTTCTTGTATTGCGTTTGTTTCAGTTGCTTCTTGTCCAGTTTAAACTATCTTTTACCGTTTCTACCACGACATATCATCATCACATTTACAGAGCTATAATTGAATTTACGAAGCTGTGTATGATGACAAAATGTGTTTGTTTTTGGATTCACAAGCTAAACTTCCTATCAATTAGATCACATGAACAAAAATTAGGATTGTAAGGGGGGATTGGCCCAAGAGCCCGTTTGGCTCTTTTTCCTTCCCCCCCCCCACCTCACGAGCTTCAATATATTAGTGTAACGAGTGGTTTTACGAGGTTGAGTATGAAGACAAAATATGTTTGTCATAGCCTTATTAGTCTATATGTAAATTTTCATAACAATCGGACAATCTGGTCAACAAATTTACATGTAAAATTTTGCAGGTGGGGGGGGGGGGGGGGGGGGGGGAAGGAAAAAGAGCCGCCCGTTTTTACTCGGCTCTCGTAACCAAATTGATTTGAAATTTTTCTCCCTGTAACTAGCATAGGCTCTTTTTCTCCCCCCCCCCCCCCCCCCCCCCCACTTCACACGAGCATCAATTTTATAGTCTAACGAGTGGTTTTACAAGGTTCATTATGAAAACCAAAGATGTTTCTTATGGCCTAATTAGTCTGCATGTCAATTTTCATGACAATCGGACAATGTGAACAGTAATTTTAATCATAAAAGTTTGCAGGTGGGGGGGGGGGGGGAAGGAAAAAGAGCCCTAGCATGAAATAATCTCAAATTTATTTCGAGTCGTTCAATTCAAACTTTCCATTTTCAAGGTTTTTTAAGCGCTAATTTTCCGACTTTCGATACGAAGGTAACAGAATATTTGTGCTCGGGGTGGGTTTTTTTGCTTCAGACAAATTTCGACTTTTTACCTAGCCATTTTTGACGGAATTTTTTAAATATCATTCAGAAGGTATTGTTGTCCTGAGCTTAAATTTGAAAAAAAAAATTTTTCACCTGTAATCATTTTTCGTAGAGTTATGGGGGTTTGAAGATTGCCATTTTGGCCAATTTGGGACAATTAACGCGCGATATATTTCGCGCTATTAACACGTAAGCCGAGATTTAATCCGTCTTAGAAATTGTTTTAAATTGGTTGAAAGAAGCTTATTTGCCAGAATTGATTTGTTGCAAGGAGCGAAATTTATTCTTTTGTAGTTTATATGGCGTATGGGGTGATGATTTTCATAGAAAAAATCGAATTTTAGAGAATTTTTTTTTCATTTTGTTCATTACATTTAATTTGTTAATGATATTTATGTTATTACTGCTCTATAAACTTTAAAATGCAGTCGGAACATTCAGGGCTTTGCCCTGATACGAGCAGTCTTGTTATGGCTTAATCGATGATATTACGATGTATAACATGTGGAAAAAATTTGATTCCAGATTACTTGGTTCGTGCCTCAAGCAAGGTTTTATAACATACACAAATAGAATACAAGCAACCTTTGAAAAAAGTTTTTTGTTACAAAAATGAGCAAGATTTAAATTTTAAAAAGTAATATCTGTTTTTTGAGGGTCTTGGTTTTTTGTTACTAGACATGGGAGGCGGGATATTGGGACATTGTTTTCCCACTATTGACTCTGCAGTCTAGCAACAAAAAACTAAGAGCTTCCCCGAAATCGTCTTTAATTGTACATGCAATGTTTGATTTCTATAAAAAGAAATAGCAGTAGTGACTAGTTTTAGTAATTAAATTTGAATTCCGTATAACTGTTAAAGCTTGCTGGTTGCAATAATAAATCCAAAAACATTGCGCTTTCAAACTTGCATGTTTATTATTAAACCGGAAGTTAATTTTTCTCAGATCAAGGTTGAAACCTTGCACCAACCACAGATTTTTTTTGCGTCAAACGTACACGCAATATTTCCCATATGGGCACCAAGATTTGCTTTATCTAGTTGTCTCAACTTTCGAAGAAAATGGGGAATATATATGCTCGGGTGGTTTTTATTAATCAGACCAGTTTTACAGAACTCTGGTCCCTCAGGAAATTGATCGTTTGATCTGCAATGGACTACGCGAACCACTAAAACAAACAACAATGAGTACAGCTAAAATTGCTACAGAATCGTTCCAATTTGAAATGAGGCAGCTAATTGGTTTTATCAACTCCATGCACGACTCATATTGCCACACTTAATCGTTGATATTATCAACCTAAAATTTATAGTTTTACCAAAAACTATCCGAGACTCCGAGACCAATGAAAAGGCAGGGAGAACATTCAGGGCTCTGCCCTGATACGAGCAGTCTTGTTTTGGTCATAAATTAAGTAATGCAAGGATTTGATGATTCTGATGAAAAAAACTGCTTCGCAGCAAAACAAAAAAACTTTTAATTATACATTAGGTTATAAGAGCTCCCTGATTTTATTGAAAACGAATTTTTTGGCTCAAAAATTTGGTTACAGTTGGAAAACATTGGAAGCATAACTATTCCAAATTACTTATATAGATTAAAGATTATAGCTTGCCACTTTATGGGTTAATTCCAACGCCTTTTGAAAGTAAAAGCGTCTCTAGTCGTATTTTTGGCTACAGAACATTTAGCATTTAATGTAAAGCCAGCTCAAATCAGCAGTTGCCGCGGTGCGTCAAATAAAATTACTCGCCAAACATTTCGACTTTCTCAAAATGAAAACTGACATCGCGCAGTTGTACTTTTGATTTAAAATTGAACGTCAAAACACAGACAATCAACAGACAATTGAAAAAAAGTCAAATGAGCGCAAAGAAATAAAAAAATGGACGCAAGGGAAAAAGTCTTCGCCTTTCGAAAAAATACATGCTTTTCTCATTGAACTCTATGAGCAATTATTGACTCAGAAATTTCAGTTTAAATTCACCCATTGAAGCTCACTTGGGCCAATACGTTCATTTTAATTCCGTTGGGCAATCCGAAAAGTTTTCCAGTTTGGAAACGAAATATGTTGTTTTTTTTCGCGCTAATTGAGCTTTTGTTATGCGAGAGGGCAAGTTGCTTCCCTTTTCAATAGTTAAACTTAAATTGAACTTGAAAAGATATTAAGAGTTAAACAAGAAAAACAATACCTGGAGAAAGCAAACTTTTAGACTTTTCAGAAAAATTACCATTATGACATGGTGTTTATTATGACAAATTATTCCATTATGACATGGAGTTTTAAAAATTCGACAAATTCTCACAAAAGTAAAAACCAAAAAATACAATTAATAAGAAATTTTAAGCAGAAGGGCAGCTGTTGCTTTTTTACTAGCGTAAAACTTTCATGTTTTTAATACACCATTTATTTATCTTTTATGTCACCCGGTGACCGGAAATTTGGCCGCATAGTAGACATCACTAGAAAAAAGGGGCGAATGGGTCCTCAGGCAATTTTTTTTCTACCGCTTTTGCAATTCAATGAAAACTTGTTAGATTCGTTCACCCTGAACAGCTGCGTGCAGACTGAATTTAAATTAGAACAAGGATAGCCGGTTACTGTGCAAATAGCACAGAAAGTTCCGACCATAGTCTTAAAAAAAATCATTTTTTTCAAACAAATGTAGATTTTTCTGTGTGGTGTAATAAATTGATCTGAAAAGAACAAAAAACAGAAGTTCGGCAAATTCGACTGTCATAGAATAAAAATTTTAAAAATTTACAATTTTTTGGAAGAGATTTTTTTTAGTTTTTGAAGATTTGATTCCCATAATGGCGCTAACAACCCCAAAAACTAACTTTTATCGACTAAGTCTAAGTTTTGACGGCTTAAATTAAGCTTTAAACAAGATTTTGTAAGCCTGCACGCTGACCTTATTAGCTGGAAATTTCACATTATTGGAAACTTTCATGTCGATAGAATCACGGCTGAGCAGGATTTAATATAATCTATAACTCGACCTATTCCGATGACTATTTGTGGTAACTGATTTTGTGAAAAAAAACTAAAAAATACCCAAATACAAATTTCCACCGCATTTTTCAAATGGTCGGAACAACAAATTAGACCATTTTTGATCTACTCGATTTGTTGATTCCCATACTTGCACGTTTTAAGGCTTGTACCTTGAACCCACATACAGAAACTAACATTGCCATTAAACGGTTGCAAAAATGTCAATGAATTCCAGGAATCCGAAAAAATGAGTCTTAAATTGAACATTTTTTAACCATCGATTCCATAGATTAAATAATCACGTGAAAACTCTGAATTTCATTTATTTTATGAGTTTTTTGGTAAAATTTATTGAATTTTATTAAGCTGGATAAAAAGGTAATTTGTTTATTCCGCTGTGGAGCCTAAGCTAAAATCAACTTTGAATTTCATGTTATTGTCACAGGAAATTCGCACCATGGTGAGTCATCCATCTTTTTCACGCTAGTTACTTGAAGTTATCGGAGAGCGCAATTTGCCTTCCCTTTAGCAAATAATTTTAAGGTTTATGAAAAAAACTGAATGAATGTTTTCACTTCGTTCATTGACAATTAAGTTTCATTTGAATTTTCACGTCCAGGAAACTTTGACTCAAGCTCGAAAGCATCAAACTACGATCATAGTGATCCAACATCCAAATGTTCTTTTGATGGTGGAGCTATTTGGCTTAACTTCTTTCAGTTTGTGCAAACGATAAGTCTATTTGACCATCTGATTATCAAAGATAACATTCTGAGCCATGCTGATAAAACATTTTTCTTTGTCTGCTAATCGTTTAACAAGAACTTTCTGTATAATTTCAATTGGGTTATCAGTAATCAAAGTAAAATCTCCTCTTTACAAATGTAGACAACAATTAATACATAAAAATATATTCGTGCGAAGTTTTGAACAGTATAAATTTAAATCCCTGATTAGACATTTTCTTGATTCAGCTCAGTTTGTAAGTCAGTTTTGTCAGTGACATCAGATTTGGCACGTTTTTCTGGGTCGAATTTTACATGATAGATTCTGAGCAAAGCAAAACCGACCAGCGGCATGAAAAGAACAGTACACGTCATACCTAGCAGACGGCTGCGCCAATTCAGCAGGTTCAACAAAGTCACTTCATGAGTGACTATATTTAAGGCTACAATGACTATGTTCTCAAGGTACCATATATGGTAATACACAGCCGTGAACCATCTCTTGCGTTTTAATTCTTGCACGTGAACAAAGTAGAACAGAAACGGAATCGCAATTAAGATATCAAACGTGAATTGAACAATTCCAGCAAATAGCCATAGGAACTTATTTGAAGCCCATGAAATTTGTTCCATTTTTGCGGTTCCCACGAATGTTATGGGACCATAAGTGCCGTCAATTTCATCGCTCATCGTAGGAAGACGAAACATCATTTTGACCATTCGCACCGCTTCGATTAGATCCTGTCTTGAAACAATCGATTCAACGTCAGTAGATAGGCGGCGTACTATTGAGTGTGCACTTAGATCTGCTCCGTCGTGTTCATCGGCAGGAGAATTAGGCAGTTTGGACTCATCCGTTACAGGAGCTGTGGACCAATCTTCAAAGGCGAGTGGAACGTCAGCTCCTGAAGCTGTAGTCACATTCAGTATTTCCTAAAAAAATTCAGCGGTTTTGTCTCAATAGAAAACTGTATGAGCCCGAATGAAAGGTCATTTTAACAGAGGCGAAGCGAAGCTTCGCACCACTTGCGATGCAACAAAAACACCACTTGCGATGCTAAAATGAACAACTCTACAATGAGAAACGCTTACAGCACAAGAAAAATCAGTAATGTAGCAACTAAGCCGACAACCTATCAGCAGACACCAGCTGATCCGAAAAAAGATTTAAAAAAAAGATTAAAAAAAAAATCTAGAACGAACAACACTTCCACTAGCAAGGAAAGTTGCTTGCAGCACAAGCAAAATCCGTGATGTGGCAACTTAGCTTAAAAAATTTCAAAAAATTTAGCAAAAAATTGGGAAACCGAAACAATAGTCAAGCTAAAGTCAAACGTGAACTGTCAAACTCACTTCAATGTCACTAAGTCTGCGATCCGGGGCAGTCTGATTTCGATCGTCTATCAGATTCCCAGTAAGAGGTCCCAAAGTGTAGTCTTCGATCTCGGTGGCCGGTTTGTACTCCAATACATTGTAGCACACTCTGATCTGCATGAACATGTTGCAAATGACCACAAGGAACAGGTGAGTCACACTAGCGTACAGGAACACGATAAAACTGAGTGTGTTCATGATAACGAGGGCCAGAACACGTGGAGCTGAAACACACTGAAATAGTAGTAACGCGTGGTAAGCTGGCCGCTATCTTTTCAAAAATTTATAGACCTACTTAGATTATAACACCTAATTGAGAGAAAGAGTTGTCTCAAAATGGCCACAAAGGCGGGTTGAAATTTGGTAGCAAAGGCGGGTATGAATGGCGCAAAAGCACATTCCTACTTCAAACTTATCAATTGAAAAAGCTCTCAGACATTTTGGTTACGAAGAAAACTTGATGTGAAACAAACAAAGAGAGACACACTTGGAACATTTGATTGAGTCCGTTGTCTAAATTATAGAATATCAAGAAAATAGAGACCAAAGAGCGTCTTCAAAATCAGACTATAAATATAGACCAAATGATCCGCCTAAAGCGCGAAAACTTGTACGATACTGTTTTACATTAGACTTTAGAAATATCGCCGAAATCATTAATAATACACTAACTCTCGCAAGCACGCTAGTGTAATGATGTGCCCGTCATAAACCGTTGTGTGAAAAAATTTTCACTCATTTTCTCTCATACCGATTAAATTTTGCCAAAACCTTCAGCAGCGCAATTATCTTTTCGGTGAAGTCATGCTATGCCTTTTTTGCACGTACTCCAAAATACAAAATACCATCAGATTGAAAGTCCAGTTTGCTTTAAGTTTCTACGATTGGTTTTAGTCACAAAATAGTGTAAAGTTGCCCAAAATTGAGGCAGGGCCATTACCCGCCCATTCTGACGACACGACTCCATATTTCCTCACCTATGATGAGCCCCATGCAGACTGTAAAATAGAACTTCGGCATCCTCCGCACAACATTGCTAGCAATAAATCCAGGAAACTTGGCAATTTTCTTACATATGGACTCGTTCTTTTCTCCCACTTTGGATTTTGAGAAACAGCAGTCAACACAATGGTCATTTATTGAAAAATCCACTTGATCCTGGTGCTTTTCCTGCGATTTCGACTGCGCGAACACTATCACCTTCGCATTTTCAAATGAAGCAGGATCCTGGTGACTATTTTGGCGTGATGTGTTTCTGGAGGAATGAGTGGAGCTTGAAGGCGAGTGGGCAGAGTCCACTTCGTCTGTTTGGTCTTCTCTTCTGTGGCCCACAGCCTCGTAATCGTACGGCATGTGTCTGAAGGAAGCAATGGAGTAGCAGAAAGTGAGCACAGACCAGGAAAACGAAACGTCTGAACATAAACAATCAGTCATCGTCACAGCCAAAAAGTTTTTATAAGCACTATTTATTAATGAGCTAATACATTGATTTTTCTCAAAACCTAAAAAAGGCGGATTTAAAAAAAAAAATTTGGAGTTGGTCGGCAAAACATGAATAAAATAGTACCAATGTGAGGAGAGGACCCTTTGGGTGGTGAAAATATCAAAACGCCCAAAGTCCGCACCTGTTGTCCAAAGTATTTAATCTAATTTGAGCCAGAGGGATCGTTCCAGTCGTAATTATCAATAGTTTTCGACACAATTTCAGACTGACTCTTTCAAATACTTCGCAATTTTGAATATTGATTAAACTCTTATCACTTAGCTTATATTACTCGTCTAACACGCTGGCTTCAAAAGTTCTGCGCAAGGAAAGTTAAACTCGGAGTACTAAACAGGCAGTCAAAATCTACTTTCGGCAAAAACGAACTAACAGTTAATCCATTCTTGTCCCTCGATCAACTGTTCATTGTAGAAAGCGTAGATCTCTATTGCCAACTGAGGGAGAGACTCCAGATTCGAACTGACGCTCTGCAGGAATTTACAATCAGCCCAACTCTGCAAGGCGTCCGCATAAGCCAACTTCAACCTAACTTCCCCTTTGGTCATACGAAGAGCTTTTCTCCTTCTTCCATTGTTATTTAAGCTCCTCGTAGATCCCTCTTTCGAACCAGAATTGGAATGGTTTACGGTGGAATCATGTTTTGAGCACAAACTTTTAATTGCGTATGTTTTTCTACACCTACTGCATTGGAACTTCGTCTGCGATCTTATTCGTACTTGGCGAAACGTGATGACTATCAATTCTACAAGCCTAAACATTTGAGGTAAAAATGTAGCTATCAGCGCTCTATTTATTTAAATTATTCGAAACTGTTGAAACGTTACCGAAAAATAGGCGCCAAAAGCAATATGTGTGCCAGCACCATAGTTGGATAATACACATATTTCTTCCATTTCGAACTTGAAAGCCGAATTTTCACATTCTCGAGAGATGACGGCTTTGATTTCAAATGTAGCACCAGCCATGATTTGATGTAATATCTAGAAAAACAACAAGACTGATCGTATATCAGGACAAAGCCTTGAGTGTGCCGGTTGTCCTCTATCGTCAATCACGAGCTTCTTGTTCCGACCATTTGAAAAATGAAGGGGAACTTAGTATTCGAGTATGTTTTTGTTTTTTTTTCGTTTCCACGCAAAATCAGCTACTACAAATAATCACTAGAGTGTTTTGATTGACATATCGTACTGAAGCCATTTTAGTCGTGATTTGAACGACATTTAAAAATTTCCAAAAAGTTTTCCCAATATCTAGAAACACCGGTTTGAACTTTTCGATTTTTCGTCTTATTTCGAGCGAGTAAAGCGAACGCGCAGGCTTACAATAGCTTCTTTTAATAGCTTAAAAGCATACAGTAGCTTCACTTAAGCCGGAAAAATTTAGTTTTACTCGAGTAAAGTTAGTTTTTTTTTTAGTATTTTGCGCCTTTTTCGATTTAAAACTGCAAAAATTGAAAAACTACAAAAAAAAAATAAAAATGTTTGAAAAATCGACACTTAAACGTTGTTTTTTGCATTTTTTAAGACTATTATCGGAACATTCTGTGCTACTCGCACAGTAACCGGCTTCCCTTGTTGCATTGAAGAAATATTGTAGAATATTTTTTTAAATGAGGTAAAATTTTGAATATTATAAAAAAAATGTTTATTCTTAATTTTATCCCCCCTCACTCCTCACAAGCTATCGAAAGTACCAAGTGGTAAATTTTGCGCGTGATAACGTATTGATAAGAGCAAAGTTCTAGCCTCAGCTCAATTAGGAAGTATTGAATTTGCCGCTAACGCTTTAAAAGAACGAAATATATCGCTCGGAAATTTTCCCTATTAGAATCATAAACGTCAAAGTAAAAAAATTAAAACCATTATAATTTTGTGGAAAATGATAACACGTAAAATATCATTTTAAATATGAGCCCCAAACAACAATATCTTTGAGGATCCTATTAAAAAACCGTCAAAAATGCTAAGATAAAAACTCGAAAATTGACTGCATAAAAAACCACCCCAAGCATAAATATTCCGGAACAGTAATGTGATGAGCGAGACAATTTGCAGTGCTTTCCGCCGACACTAGTGGTCTGGATGAAATCCTTCGTCGTTTAAAATGCAATTTTTTTCATGCATTCTCTATCTAGTTACAAGGGTAACTTAAAGGAGAACTCCATAAGATGGCAAGAATTTCGGGGGCGCAAAAAAATATGTTCGAATTTCAACTCGTGTACTACCTGAGTCGTAGATCTCCTATCAAATATAGACAGAGACTGATGACGTTGTAGACAATAATAGGAACCACCAGGAAAAACAGGAACGAATAGAAGAGCCAGTATTTCGGAGGCTTCGTATCGTCTAGCTTCTCATAATTGCGCCTGTCTTCTTGATATTCCCTCTCCAGTTTGTAGTACTCTAGTACTACAAGGATGTCAGTGACTATGTCCAGAATGTAGAGACCCAGTCCGAACACGATGTGGAAGAGCAACCTACTTCTTCCGAAATAGCGGTTCCTGAATAATAAAAACCACTTTCAAGTTTAGGAAACACGAACATATTAATTTTCAGAAATTTCGAAAAGCTCGCCTTAAATCACTAAAACATAGCCGACAAATAGATGCCAAGGAATCAAGGAACGCACGAAAACAAACCGAAAAGAAAACTGGCTCGTTTAAAAAAATCTATTTTTTCAACTTCCAATTTCCAAAGTAAAAATATATCGCCTTAAAGCTCTTTGAATTATGATTGACACTTTTTTTGATATAATTAACTCAGTTATAGATAACTGGCTCGTGGGTCAATCGGTAAAACTTTAACTCCTCAGGGAAATTTGAGAACTAATCCACGTTCGAAATTAAAGTCAATCAGTCGGGTTAGAAGTCAACTTCCTCAACTCAAACTTTTAAGAAATTACCTTGAAAAAACAAAAAACCAAAAAAAATTATCACGATCTATACAATAGTCTTCGCTACGTTTATGAGAGCCGCTTCTTATGCGAGTAGTCAGGGTTGGCTTGTTAATTAACACCATGTTAATTAACACTGTTTTTTAACGTTTTTTAACGTTAAAAAACATCGAGATTTTAACTTTTTTAACATTTTATATTTAAACGAAGTAGTTTTTGCAATACAGCTCCAAAACATGGCTTTTACAATTGGCTTTTGTTTGTTTTCTCAGAAACGCCGAATTGATCACATGCACATCCAATCAAATAGTTGTTCGTTGCAAGCTGAGAATTATACTGCAACCAACTGAGAATTAAATGGCGGCTGAACAGCTGCATTCGGTTATGTGCATTTGTGCGTTCGGTTATGCCTATCAGTATCTTGCTTTAAATCTTGCTTTTCTCCGTTTACTTGGGTTTTGTTCGGTTTCTTCCCCCGTCTTAATTGGATGCTGTGGTTTCAGATTTCATAGTAATGTCTGGCCGTCCTTCGGATGCAATCTGGCTACACTTCAATCGTCGGAACAATATTTTTCAAGAGGAGCGGCAAAAAACATCAGCGACCTCCTGAAAAACATGACTCTGTACAAAAACATCGAAGATGCTTTGAAATGTTTGAAACCAGTTTCTGTGGCTTTGAACAAGATGCAGTCTGACAGTATTGAGATAGCGACAGGGTTCGAAGTCTGGAAGGAACTTCTTTCTACTTTTCGTGAAATGGGCTCCGAAGGACGAGAATGGTTAGAAGTAGTAGAAAGACGGTACGAAAATTCTGTCCCGCCGCTATGGTGTCTTGCTAACGTGCTGCACCCAAATTTCGTTGGGAAAAAGTTGACAACAAAAGAGTGGAAATCCGCGAAAGACTGTTTTGTCAAAATGTATCCTGACGACGTCCCGGAGTTCATCCATTTTATTGGATTTTTCAAAGACCAATATAACAATGAATACGAACAATCAGGTTGTCCGGTAGTGGCCGATTTCATCAAGTCCCAAGTGTTGACAGGAGAATTGAGTGTGAAGCTTGGAAATGTCTCTGAAAAAATTCTAAACCTCCCACCATCTTCTGCTGGGATTGAGCGCGTATTTTCGTCTCTAGGCTATGTACACAGCGACGTTAGAAATCGACTTGGTCAAGAGAAGGCTGCGAAACTCGCTTTCGTGCTACGCGCTCTCAAAAAAGAGCACTATTTTTGATAAATCATTGAATGATTTGTTTGAACTGAATTCAATTTTTAACCCTGTTTTTTAACATTTTTAACGTTAAAAACTGTTAAAAATCTTGTGAGGGTGTTAAAAAGCCAACCCTGCGAGTAGTACAGAATGTTCCGATCAAGCTCATTTTTTCAACGAAAAATTAAAAAAAGCTTTAAAAAATGTTAGTAACTTTGTAAAAATAATTTTGTAACTAAATTTGAAAACTTTTCTGTAACTTCCGGCTTGACAAATTAGTCTGAAAAGCGAAAAACTTCACATCCGTTTTTCTGGACACTGAGATAATGTTTTTGTATAACGACTTATAGGGCTTTAATGTGCGCACACTTTACCCCCTACGATCTTTAATAGAGGTAGTCGTAATTTGGCGCAAAAGCTGCACTCTACCTATTAGTTACTTCACTTCATTTTGTCACGTGGTCGGAACAAAAAGTAGCAAAGGAAAGTCCTTCGATCACTTGAGTGAAATTGGTTTGCAAACTATTTGAACCCATAAAAATAAACTTGGAGCAGTTATTAACTGCGTCAGCTTTGAAAATCAATTTGATCAAAAATAGTTGACTGTAATAGAAAAACTTGGATTAGAATGGACTTCTTTATGTGAAGTGTTTGTCTTCATACGACTATCTGTTGAAAAATATCTCATACGTTTTCAACAGATAGTCGTATGAACGCAAACACTTCACATAAAGAAGTCCATTCTAATCCAAGTGTTTTCTATTACAGTCAATTATTTTTGACCAAATTGAATTTCAAAGCTGACGCAGTTAATTTTAATAACTGCTCCAAATGTCTATTTATGGGTTCAAATAGTTAGCAAACCAATTTCACACAAGTGATTGAAGGATTTTTCTTTGACATTTTTTGTCCCGATCACTTCACGAACAATTTTGTAATTTACTATGCCAATTTTAAGAGAGTAAAATCCCTCAATCTACTAATAAATCAAATCTGGAAACGAGACCTAAAATTGAGAACTGCTAGGGAGATTCAGGGTCCTCATTTTGTTTCAGTATTAAACAGTTTTCATTATTCAAGCATCTGCCAAGCTTTTCTGGTGTGATACCCCAAAGAGTAGCTCTACCAACGTCATACTTCGAACTTACCTTCGTGTTTGGGATGCAAACTGCAATTTGAGTTGATCTGTAAGTTTTCCATCTTCCACAAAATGATGCGAGTCTCCTCCCAGGTCACGTCTTCTCTGAATTGAGCACTCGCTCACATCTGAAAAGAAAGCTCTATAATTTCTTACACTTGAAATACAAACACAGAGGCGAAACTGAGCTTCACGCCGCTTTCGATACAACAACGAATGACTGCAATTAAATCAAACGAAAGGAAAAATCAACATTGAAAAAAAACTTCCAACATTGTTTTTCTCATAAAAAATTACTCTTCGGAAAGATAGAATCAAGCCAAACTTTCAAACAATTCAGTTCTGCAGGAACTAAGCCAGCAAAAATGAGCAGACTGGCAGACATCTAAAATAGCCGACAATTTTTGCTTTGCTAAAAAACAGATCCCAACTGGAATTTGTAGTCAGTCAAGCATGGGTGTTAGAGCAACTTAGAAAAAGCCGAACCTTCAAAAAAATCGGGCTACGGGAATAAAGCCGAATTCCAACCACAAGCCGTCTCAAACTGGTGTGTTACTTCAACGCCAGATGCGCCAGGTGGTTTATTGAAGTTTATAAAGGAAGTGTGCCAAAGACGCAAAGAAAGAATTCATTGCCATTTACAACAGAAGCCTGAATTTACGATTTCTAATTTTGATCAATCTGTGAAAAAAAGTCTAGCACTGGTAATCAGATAATTTTGGTAATCAGATAATCAGGTAATCAGATAATTTTGCTAATTAAAAAAAAGACTTCTGAGGCGTCCACTTAGAAGTATCGTGAAACAATTTGTAACGAGTGAGCTTCATTCTACGACTTTGTTTCAATTATTTAAGACTGCATATGCAAGAGAGACGGGAAGCGGAGCTCTGCATGACTTCTAAGAAGGACATCAAGTCCATTATTATTTTCAAAAAAAAACTGTTTTTAGATTCTTATTTTTATGTACCGCTTAGAGTTGAACCAGATTCCGGCTTCTTTTACGTTGCATTCTGGTTTTTGACTCCGGCTTATAATCAAGGACAATTCCCGACTAGTGGAAGGTACCTGTATAAAACTTTTTATAAAACCGTTGTAGAGATGAGAAAGGTACTGCAGACTTTTCAAAACTCGAAAAAAATCTGAACTCCAGAAGTTTGCGTGCCAAAATTAGGCAGAACTCTCTTTAGTAAAAATCAGAAAGGTGATTGTGAGAAAAAAAATCTTAAGCGTCTCAAGAAAGTCAAAATCTAATCCGTAACCTTTTCATAAAGCTTATTATATCAATAAAAAAATCGCATCTCTTTGTCTCTTTATTTAACGCTTCTCTCGCTTACCCCTTTACCTGCGGCCTTTAAAATTTCAAAATCCAAAGACTTTTGTCCCATTTTTGTCGAAATTCTGCACAACGACTCAACTACACCTTTAATCACAGGGTAGCTTTTGAGAAAATGAGGCAAGTCAGAAAGCCACTCAAAAATGGGCTTTCCCAAGTCCATAGCGGTTTCTAAGCTAAAATTAGGGAGTAGCCACTTATGCTGAGAATGTCTCTACAACTTGTCCTTGCGAGTTAACCCTTGGCATCAGAACTGGTTGGGTCTATTTTAAGAAAATGCAAAGAAAGAAATTTTCCATTGATATCACAAGGAAAATTAAGGAAAAAACTATCCAGCGAAGCGTCAAAAAAATTAAAATCCCAAACAGCGTACGATTTCTGCAGACTTTTCCAAAATCGAAAAACTCAAATTCCAAAAGTTTTCGTACCAAAATTAGGAAGAACCGTTCAAATTCTCCAAAACGACTCAACTAAGTCTGAGTTCTAGCAGAAAGTATTTTCCATTGAACCTTTAATCTCTCTTCAGAAAATGAGGGAAACCAGAAAAACACTCAACAAGTCAAAATTAGGGGTTTTCCTAAGTCCATATTGGTTTCTTTGCTAAAATTAAGGAGTAGCCACTTACGGTGAGGATGTCTCTACCACCTGCTTTTACGAGTAAACGTTAGGTATCAGAACTGGCAGGGTCCATTTTGAGAAAGATACGGGTTTTCCATTGATAACACTAAGGTTAAATTAGTCAAGGTAATTTTTGAGAAAAAACAATTGAGAAAAAAAATCTTTCGAACAATCAAAATTTCAAACCCCGTACATTTTCGTTATGAAATATCAATTAAAATGGGACCTTTTGTCATACAATGGTCCGTGCACAGATTGGATAGCTCTATCGCAAATATATAAATGCATCAGCGAACAATTTCAGAATATTTGGAACCAATAGGTTTTTATAGCACCTAAAGATAGATTATTACGATAAAAAATGTCTATGATATTTGTGTTTTTCAAATCATACATCCCCGGATGCAAAGAATTGCACTCCTCGGTAGTGTAGATCTTATTTTGGCTCTTAAAAACTTTGCTGTCGAACTATGACGCTTGAAGGCATTGGGTTTGTTTATTTCGGTTAAAAGTGGTTTCGTCCCTGTTTAAGTTTTATTGGCCCCCGACAAGATATGTAGGGCATGGCATGTTAATGAAGCAGGTTGAATGAACGACATTTAAACACTCGATTCTTCTGAACCGATCAAGCGTTTTGTTGTGGGTCAACAACCTCCGTCTAACGAATTATTTCTTTCAAGGAAGTTTAGCTCGGTCGATCCTTCGCGCTATGTGACCTGAAGGTGTTCATTTCGTCCCTCTATGTTTCATTTCATTTTTCGCCTAAATTTTCTATTAATTCCTGGTTTGTTTTAGAACCTGGCGCTGCTCCTCCCATACATGCAAAAATTAGTGGAACAAAGCTGAAAAAACAACGCAAATTTAAGATAACTCAATTTAATCTAGACTCCTTTTTGGGATTAACATAGTGCCAACTTGTGTTTGATTTATTGTTAATATGGCATTGAATTAGAACAACTTGATTGAAAATGTATACACTGTGCATTCATTGTCTCACTCTTCAACTCATTGAAAAGTCAAAAATGAATTCTTTCTCTTGAAGAACCTCACAAAAAAGCCAAACACTGATTACTCTTGACGGCCATGTATTTCAAAAGAAACGCGATACTAAGACAACAACACACACTGGCGCTGCAGCAAATGGAGATCGTATAAATTCTCGAAAACTTTAATCACTTCTGAAAGCGACAATCTGAAACAGCAACGAGCATAGTTACGAGCTCAACGCAGGACGCTCGGCAACTAGTTCAGCAAATAAAGGAGACAGCTAGGAATCAATTAAATGCAGTAAACAGTCGGATAATCGCAGCTAGTTTGCAATTGGTGCTGGACAACAAAGCAACCCAACTGTCTATGCCCTCCTGGTCGGCGCTCACGCAAACTTTAAACAGAAGTAAACAAACGTCATCCCTGCCCACTATTGCCACAGATGACTGTCATTTCGAAATACCCGATCGTTTTAAGCAATTTTGTCTTTTTGATAGCGGAAAACAAGATACGGAACGCATTTCAATTTTTTGAGACCTTGAGAACCTTAATGCACTTGAATTGTACAACAAAACCTGGCTTGGAGACGGTACTTTAAAAATTTGTCCCAGTCAGTTTTACCAGCTGTATACTGTAAACGTCCGGATTGGCGGATTTTATCCACCTTGCGTCTACGCTCTGCTCAACAAAAAGCGTTTTCAAGCTATAACAAACTCCTAACCGCACTTAAATCGCTTATCGGTGACGCAACCCCGGAAAGAATTTAGATCAACTACGAAATTGCGGCGTTGAGTGCTTTTAAGTCTCATTACGAAACTGTCATTAAGGGATGCTATTTTCACCTCTGTCAGAGCTTTATGCGGAAAAAATCCGAATTGGGCCTTAAAAAGACTTACGAATCAAACAGCGAGCTAGTCTTAGCGCTGAATATGATTACTGCGCTTAGTTTTGTGCCGGAGTCAAAAGTGGAAATCGGGTTCGACCTAGTAATTGAGGAAATATGCAGTGTGGCAACCAAACTGGATAGTTCACAAAACGATCTGGAAAAATTAGACGAGCTCACTGCTCATTTACAAAAAACGTACATTAAAGGGATTTGATCAGCCGAAAAACATTCCTATTTCTCTATGGAACCATTATCAAAATGCTGTTTGTGGTCTATCCCCAACCACAAATGCAGTTGAAGGGTGGCATCTAGGTGTAACCGCTTTGATTCAAGGCAGTTATCCTCAAATATACACGTTTCTCGAAAAAATTCAACTAGATTCCTACAATCAAAAAGTCAAAATTTTGAAGGCATCTAGCGGCAGTATCAACTTTTCTCGGAAGAAGTACCGTGATCTGAATGAAAAAGCTCAACATATAACTAGTTCATACACAGACTCTAACTTATTGTCTCATATCCGATCACTTGCCCATTTAACCTATTAAATTTTGTTTTAGTTTTTGCCTAATTTTTCCTAAATTTAAATTTGTTTGATCACTTTTTATAGACGTCTCCTTGCATCTTCCCGGAGAACGCCGAAACGCAATACAACGACTCGCATTCAAAAATGATGTCTCTGGCAATTTGATTCCAGAGCAATTTTTCTTAATTACGGGACGCTAGGTTGAGGGTAGGGGCCTGACGGCCCTTTGAGTACTGCGCCTAGCAAAAAAAAATTGATCAAAATTGGAATTATTATTTTTTTGTCAAATAGAAGGGCAAGTGATTGGTAATAGAAATGATTTCAAAGCTTAAGAATTTTGCAAAACTCAATTTCAATTTTGTACCGACTTGAGTTGTCTGGAAAATCGGGCCATTTTTGACAAAGTTGGTTTTGATTTATTGGAAACCTCTTTCAAGTTCATTTGTAGTCTACGCTGTTTTGAAGTTAGATTTTCATTTTGAAGTCCAAGTGATTAGCAAGGTCATTTATGTTTGAAATTTGTGCAGCAAAAACTTTGCCGTTTCTTTGATTTTAACCGACGCTGTTTTTGCTTTGATCGATTAACCGCTTTATTATCAATTCTCAGGTTTTATGTTATTTTAATATGGTATCATATGTTGTGGGCAATTTTAAAACAAGGTATCTTTTGGAATGGTACCTTATTGACTGGGATCTTCTCGTTTGGGGTCTTATGGTAAGGGTTCTTTTGTCATGTAACCACAATGGTCCGTGCACCGATTGGATAGCTCTATCGCAAACATATATAAATGCATCAGCGAACAATTTCAGAATATTTGGAACCAGTTTTTTAGCACCTAGAGATCGATTATTACGATAAAAATCCTCCGTCTAACAAATTAGTTCTTTCAAGGAAGTTTAGCTCGGTCGATCCTTCGCGCTATGTGACCTGAAGGTTTTAATTTCGTCGCACTATGTTTCAATTCGTTTTTCGCCTAAATTTTCTATTAATTCCTGGTTTGTTTTAGAACCTGGTGCTGCTCCTCCCGTACCTGCAAAAATTAGTGGAACGAAGCTAGTATGTTCCAAAAAAAGTTATGCTCCGCATAAACCTCAATTACACCTGTTTTTTATCAAACGAGAAAATTGATAGCTTTTCTGCATGGTCAAAAGAACTCAACCAATTTCAGCCTGCGATCACAGGGTATGCACTATATAGCAGCTAGAATAATGGAGAGATATGATTTTCCAACAATGCTAATCACTGTTAACAACCAAATACGAAATCCGGCAATTAATTAACTTTGAATTAACGGTTCCGGATATTTAGCAAGGTCCGTTCGTGTTTAACCTTTTAAGGTGGATGCGTGATTTTAGAATATAATTTATCAAGATCAAATGTATTTAGAATACAAAAAGTTTACAATGCATAAACTCATATCATGTTAACGCTAAATCAGCTTTAAACACCGAGGCGAAACAGAGCTACCCACCGCTTGCGATACATAACAAAAGACCATGGCAATCTAGCAGACAAAAAGAAGACAAGTCCATCAAACAGAAACTTATTAGAACCAAAAATCGCAATGGTAACTCGGAAAATTATATTCTGATATGATAAGGCTGGCTAATCAAAAGCATAATTATTCAACAATGGGGGAGGGGTGTAAGAGAGCCAGACAAATTGCCTATTGACATGTACAAAACCATTAATTAACCAAATTACACTCTTTCCTATTTAACTCCACGCACACAGACACTAAGTAAGCTATTCAACCTAATTCCTACTATTTGCGGGTTTCAGATTCGAATGAGATATGTTACTCTCTCATATAAAAGAACCTCCTCCGGTTCCTATCGATTGACTAACATACTACACCGTTACACCGAGCAGAGCCTGACCTGTTGCATTGAAAAATATCAGCCAAAAATCAGAAAAACTTGAGGAAAAAACAGAAAAATTTAACAAAATATCTTTTTGGAAACCCAATCACGACTAAAAAGGCTTCAAAAGGATGCCATACTTAACAGCACACAATTTCTTAGTTACAATGTTAAATGAAAAAACTGCCCAATTACATACACTTTCAATCAAAGTTTTTATCGGCAAGAATTGGAGGGTGGGTTGAATTCTTACATTCTCACAAGGGTGGATCTAGGATTTTCTCCAGAGGGGAGGGCGCATTTTCGCAATTTTGTCGACCATTTCCTTTGGGTCGACCAAATTTAATTTCTGGGCTCTACCAAGTCACTATAAAACCCTCCGTTAGGCACTTTCAGAAAAATTTCGAACAATCAATTGCGTTTTTTAGCGCGCGCTAGCCCTCCTTCCAAAAAAGCAAATGTTGCTTCCTGGGCGCATGTTAAAATTTCAGGGTCGGTCAGCTAAAATGGATGTTTTAAAAAGTAGTAAAAGGGTACCCTTTGGGTCGACAGGAGCAGGGGTTCCGCAAAATATATGGCCATATTATGGGGTTTAATTCGTTCCATAATTTGAAAAAAATGAAAAATCAAAACAAATTATTCAATTTTAAAAAAAAATTTTTGAAACGAGTTTAGCATCCCAAAGCTCTTTATTGACTTTTAAGAAAAGAGTAGCCTCAAGCCTGAGCAAAACCCCCCCCCCCCCCCCCCCCTCCGTAAAAAGTTTTGGTGGAAGCAGTTTTGCTATTTTTTTTTCTAATAAGTTTCTGCTTGGTGAACTTCGCCTCCTTTTTGGCCTGCTAGCTTGGCATGCTCGATTTGTCATGTAATGCAAGCGGTGCGTAACTCTGCCACTACCCCCCCCACCCCCTGAATACCCCCTTAAATCCGCCCCAGCAAGCTTAGTTGATGGCATGCAGCAGGATGCATGCAGCCAACAAATTAGCGATTTAATCTTTCTCAAATTAAAACAATGTTACTTACACATAACTACTCAATGATTCATTCCGAGACTCCTGAGCATTCATACATCTTATCTGAAAATAAGCAAGTTTAATTCACGCATTTTTTTAAATTACTTACAAAACATTTCAATTCGACTAGCGTGTAAAGCACCTCTGGTGCTTCAAATTTATGTTACCTCATAAAAAAACCGCATATATTGAAAATAATAGTTGCATCCTTTGAGTGCACTCTGACAGCACCCAATTACAGGGTTGTTGATTTCAAATTTTGTAAAGTTATTGAAGTTTTTTTTTCTTCAAATTTTGAAAACATACAATTTTGTGAATTTAGTAATCAGAAGGTCAAAAAGTATCATAGTAACCGAGGTTACAGTCAGGAGTCCCTTCATCACGTATTCCAGTCAAAATCCTTGGAATTTTCTAGATATGGAAGTGATAATGATAAAAGATGATGACAAGTGTTTAAGTCCTTTTCAATTAAAATTTTGTGAATTTGTTTCATATCTAATTTCGTTTAAAATTTTCAAAATGACAGAAAACGTCACGTCCCGGAAACTATAAACCTTAGAGCAGTCGCATTTGGACCCAAGATTTGCATATTTCTAACATTCGCCCAGACATTACACATAGACGGAGCGTAGAAAAAAAACCTATTGACTAGCAGGCGTCAGTTACATTGATTCTACTCGTTTTTAACCGTCTAGATCTAGCCAGTTCGTTTTCTGGTATAATAATAATAATAATAATAATAGATTTAGGAATTATACAGACAGCAGCACGCGATGAGGACATCGATCTTGAGTCCGGGGAGTATGTGCCAGTCGGTCATATCTGGAAGTTTGACCTTGAGGAATAGGAAATACGTGGTTTTTGAAAAATGAAGTTTAATTTTTCAAAATTCGAATTGAGCCTGCCATGCTCAGTTTTCTCGCGACAACTGAAAACATAAAATATAAAATCAGAACAACCGAATTACAATTGCGAGAAAGTTGTCAAATAAAGACAGTGGGAAATTGCTATTCGCAATTTCCGTCGTAGAAAACGAGAGTAGAGCTGTCCTATCAGATATCGGAGACAGAGCAATCACAAGAGCAAATCAAAATTCGACTGAACCAGAGTGAACCCTCAATGGAAAGGTAGACAACTGAAGTCTCCCAATGGTTCAGATCCAAAACTACGTTCTCAAGTTAAAACTCATTTCCTTTGATTGGTACTCATTGTTAGAAAACTTCTCGAGTTATATTCAATTATATTCATGCTAGAGTTATTAATTAGCTTAATTACTCTGTTTCTCAAGTGTGCTGCTATGTAAGTACCTATTTTAATTTTCCCGAGTGTATTTTGTGATAAGTATGTTGAAGTAAGGTGAGTTTTAGGTTGATCCATCTGAAATGGATCAAAGTTTCACTGTCCAATAAAAAGTAACTTAACGAATTGTTCCGACCCTGTTTTTAACGGCGTTCGTGTATTTTGAGTATTTTGAGACCTAAGTATGGGGACGTTCTTATTTTCTAGAGTGGGGGGGGGGGGGTATTTTGGTAGTGGCCTTTAAGTTGTAACGGGTTCTAGTCTCCGAATTGGCTCCGACCGTTTTTGAGGTAGAAAAACACAAGAGATAGTGTCCCTGACTCTTGAGCCAATGGTTATAGGGCCTATTTTTCTTAAGCCTCATATGTGACCGAAGCTGGCGACTGTTACAAAGTGTTTTCATGGCGCTCCTGGGTGTTTTACGACATCATGACTACGAAGTCGAACCCACTTGACACAGCTCCGGGCTACATGCCCATTCTAGAGTACCGGTGGTACGGTTCAGCGGGAACGTGTAAACCTTCCGGTTGTACCATGATAGCTTTTTAAGAAAACTTGAAAAAACTTCCTGGTACGTTCTCCGAACGAGGCTTAGCTAACCGAGTAAGGGGGGTAATTAGGGGGACAAAAATACGAGCAAAAAGACAAAAAGCGAAACAAAAACAAAAAAAAAGTATAGAAAAAGGAACAAAAACCATAAAACAAAAATGACAGTGACTTTGACACCAGATTAGTTGGATCAAACCTTTATATTAATTAAATAGTATGCCCATACTGTTTTAGAAGACCGATGGTTTCGATCAACCTGGCAATCTAATCCAGCAACCTCAATAAGGTGCCCAAAAGGGGGCGTTGTTAAGAGTTTTCAGATAGCTTGCTACTTAGCTGGACTACTGAGAGACTTGACTGGAAGAGGTGACCAGCCGAGCGGGAAAATGGTTCACACGGATTGAGCCGAACCACTAGGAGACTTGACTGGAAGAGGTGACCAGCCGAATGGGAAAGTGGTTAACAGGGATTGAGCTGAACCGCTAGGAGACTTGACTGGAAGAGGTGACCAGCCGAATGGGAAAGTGGTTAACAGGGATTGAGCTGAACCGCTAGGAGACTTGACTGGAAGAGGTGACCAGCCAAGTGGGAAGGTGGTGCTGGTGTCCAGTGCAGTGCACGTCAAGGGGACAACCAGCACAGGACCGCCACAACAAGAGGAGGATGCACAGGGGTGTTCTCAAGTTGGACAAACGGGTATCGTTAAAATCCACATTACATTAAAGGAAATAAGTGTAAAATTGGATAAGCGGAGCCCCATTGTTTTGAGGAAGTTTTTACTCAAGCAGGCCTGGAAACAGGTCTACGGTTTTCTCTCGAGAGGTTTAGCACCCGGCGCTTAAGGGAATTTTTGGCTTAAGAGGGGGGCTAAAGAGGGGGGAGGTTAGAAGGGGGGCTGGTTAGGTTAAAGGTTGGTGGTTGTAAAGTGTAAAAAGGGGGGACATTAGAGTAACTAATTGATCGGCATCGTCGATTTAGTTTCATTAAATTCTTATACGCGTCGGTTATAAGGAGCGGATATCCAAATTTAACATCGAATTAAGGTAGGTACCCTGGTCGGATTGGTAGGGGGGAACGGACATAGACAGTTTTTGTGATACCCCATAAGATCGCTAGCAGGGGGGAGGAAACGCGTGGCAATCGGGTACCAGGCGTTTTTTCGGACAAATGTTGACATCTGTCAGCTTTGAATTTTAGGTAGGTACATTTCTCTATTTTTTTAATTTTTCCTGTTTAAATTTTTACGTTTTGGTGAGAATTTGTTATTGGTATTTGAACGAACAGGTGATCACAAGATACCTGCGAAGAAGTTGGGGTTTCAAATTGCCTGAAATAACGAAAGGGAGATAAATACAGGGGGGTCAGTTTTGAAGCTTTTGGCCATTAAGAAAGGGTTTTTGGGAAAATTTTTACTAGAGCTCAAGTGGTGGTACACGGTACAGTGGTTCGAGAGTCCCCACAACGAAGAGGAAGAAATTCTACTATCCAGACACTTGGTGACAAGTCTTGGGACAGTACCGAAGAAGTCTTGGTACATTGCAGTCTGGGGACGGTCTTGGAGCAGTGCAATCTTGGGACAGTGCAGTCTTGGGACCGTCTTGGGACGGTGCAGTCTTGGGACAGTCTTGGGCCAGAGCAGTCTTGGTACGGTCTTGGGACAATACAATCTTGGGACACTGGTCTTGGGACAGTGGTATTGGGACAGTAGTCTTGGGACAGTGGTCTTGGGACAGTTGTCTTGGGACAGTGGTCTTGGGACAGTGGTCTTGGGACACTAGTCTTGGGACAGTAGTCTTGGGACATTAGTCTTGGGGCACTAGTCTTGGGACAGTAGTCTTGGGACAGTAGTCTTGGAACAGTAGTCTTGGGACACTAGTCTTGGGACAGTAGTCTTGGGACAGTAGTTTTAGGGCAAGGGTCTTGGGACAGTAGTCTTGGGACAGTAGTCTTGGGACACTAGTCTTGGGACAGTAGTCTTGGGACAGTAGTCTTGGGACAGTAGTCTTGGGACACTAGTCTTGAGACAGTAGTCTTAGGACAGTAGTCTTAGGACAGTAGTCTTAGGACAGTAGTCTTAGGACAGTAGTCTTGGGACAGTGGTCTTGGGACACTAGTAGTCTTAGGGCAAGGGTCTTGGGACACTAACAAGAAGTACTGGGACAGCACCGAATAGTCTTGGGACAGTAGAGAGAAAGCTTGGGACAGCACGAAGTAGTGGGGTGACGGTACTAAAGGGTCTTAAGACAGGGCGAAAAAACTGAATCAAAAGCAATAGGACTAGTCGGAACGCGATACTGTTAGGGTCACGAATTAGTAAAATTTTAATAAAGTCTTATAAGGAACAGAAAAGTAGTTTTTCTTTTCATTATCAACAAAATTTTTTAAGTTTTTATTCTTAGAATAGGATTTTGTAAATACCAATATTGTAAATAGAATCAATTGTAAAAAAATCATGAGACGGAGCAGGGTACCGGTGGCTGAAAAAAGATCTACAGAATCAAAGACAAAATATAACTCGTCGCTACGTAAAACGACATCTATGGGCCCAAAGGTAACAAAGAAGAACTTTTCATTTAGCATGGTCAACACGAGGAGTAATACAGAGAACAAAACAAAAGAGGGCACGGGGGGGGGGAACAAGCGGAACCCGCAATCGAGATTGACCTAGAAACACCAGACCAGAGTGTGGATGAGGTGGAGAAGAAGACGACGGAGTCAACACCGATGCCGAATGCAGAAGAACCAAATCCAAAGTCCATGGAGTTCTCGCCTATAGACACTGTGGAAGACACAACGGGCAACACGCCAGAAATAGTACAGGACGAGTCTCAAGCAAAAAGAACGTCATTTACTGAAAGGTTGGCAATGATGGTCGGGATGAAATCGAGAGACATAGTGACGGAGGAACCGAAAGCCGAGAAAGGCAAAACATTCGGAACGGTTTCCACGAAAACGACAGACACCGACCAAAAAGAGGACCAGGTAAGACCGGGAGCAGCAGCAAACAACAGGGCAACAGCTGACCATGAAACAACAACTTCTCTCGATCTGGGTGATCTGATGGCGAAGCTAGATCAGATCGACAAGAGACTAAAGCACAGCGAGGAGGATAGAAAGGTAATAAAAAAAGAATTAAGATACAACAAACATGAGTACCTATTTCAACTATTTCAACTATTTCAATTTGGCGAAAGCGACAGAGGAAAAGCTTCAGTAGATGTCAGACAAGGTAGATGCCACTGATGGAGAGCGAGGCAAGAACACCAAAAAAGACATGCAAGAGATGAAGCAACGGTATGACGCAGTGAACAGCCAGTTGGGGAGGCTGGAAACGAGAATGGACACAATGAGTAGGGACCAGGCTGAGAGTTCATGTGCAATACAGGCAAAACTAGACGCCATCTTGAGAAACTCTACGTCACAGGACAGGCCGGCAGCGGAACGAACGCAAGGCAACAGAGTTGACTTCGTGGAACCACAACGGAACAAACGGCAATCAACACCGTTACCATTACCCCGGGATGCCCCAGGTACAGCACCGGGGGGGCCAAAGCGATTATGAAAAGTGGAACAGCAAACACGACGAGTGGTCCAGGGGATTCGACGACTCACAATAACGTGGGACCGGATGTCATGACGTGGGCAAGCACCTGGGAAATGATGAACAGGACACTAGAAGCCTTCGCCACGAGGAACACCGACTCGAGTGACAGAGGAAGTAACAAATCCAGGAAAACTTTCAAAAAACCGAAAGAATTCAAGGATGATTCAGATGGATGCATTGATACTTGGGTAGAAGTCATGAGATTGCACTTGGAACAAGACAACTTGAACGATGAGAGGCAAGCATGCACAGCGATACTCAGCAACTTGGAAGGCACGGCGTTGAAATGCGTGGTTGCGAAGAAGGAAGAGGATCGCGACACTGCGGATAAAATCTTCGAGATATTGTTGAATCGATTCGGGTCAGGCATGAAGGGTCATCAAGCGATGATGCGATTTGAAAAGAGAAGACAAAGGGACGATGAATCAATAGATAGGTTCCTAGATGATCTTGAGAGCTTGAGACGAAGGAGTGACCCTGAAGAGTCCACAAACAGAAGAAACTTTAGCATCGCCTCAAAGTTCATTGATGGGGTAAAGAGTAACGACTTGAGAACAATGTTAGCAACATACTATACATTGACTCCAGAAGAGATGAGAAAGAAGTCGAGAGAGTACATGCTAATGAAACCCAAGAAATACTCATATTCAGATAAGGGGAATATGCAAGGGGGGAACCAACCACAAAGGTCGTCATGGTAAAAGCCTAGAGATGACATGGACAAACGTAGATCATGCGCGAACTGCGGGTCAGCTGATCATCACGTGGCGGATTGCACAACATACAAGCAGGGCATGAAGAGTCTGGGATACGCACCAGATGAGGAGGACATGAGCCAGATGGAAGAACACGAGTACTATAGTGGCTTAATCATCAAAATAGGTGCAAGATGCTTCTTGTGCAATCAGGAGGGGCACTTCAGGATGGATTGTCCTTTGTTTTGGGAGGCGGTCAAGAACCAGAGTCACCCCAAACATAAATTGGCATTAGCGGCGGTGCAGAATCAGCGAAAAAGACAGACCGAGTTTGAAAAAAAAACCTAGAAGCACCGAGTACGGAACTGCCAACGAAGACAGTGAAGGCTGTAACGCAGGTTAACAATGCGATAGAGGCCACGGCCAGGAACGCCCTAGATATAAATTATGAGAAAGCGGCGTCAGAGGCTATTAACAAGGTGAAAGAGGACCAAGCAACGGTTGAGGCAAGGAATCGACAAACAGAGATTGAATGAGACGTTAAGTTGCTCGGTGCCAGTGCCAGAAGCTGTAGCAGGGTCGACAAAGAGTGGAAATTGCAACACTCTGAAAATGGTGACAGGAAAGCCATTTGGCATAACGATAATCGGAGCCAGGATAATGTCGATAATCACTGTAGGTGGCCATGAGGTGACAAGGAACTTAAGTGAACCCAGCGACCAGACAGTAATGCACCTTGACGTACACGCAGATTACTTGAGTGCGATAAGCCCACAGACGACATCTAGAGCCTTGAGGGCGCTACTCACGAGAGGTGGCAACAAGTCGGTCTGTGTGGACAACAGATACACAGAAGCTTATGGTCCGCATGAGGTGATGTTGAATATAGATGGGATAAACATCTACACGAAAACAATGATAAAATGTGATGACGATCTAGTGGGACAGATCTACGTGGGCAAAGAAGAACTAAAGGTGAGATCGATTGGAAACTGTGCCATGCTGGAGGAAGATGCAATGCACATCGGGACAGAGGCAGACGTATCAGCACACGTGCTTGACATAAGTGGCAAGAAGACTCACTTGCGTGGGTTACTCGATACTGGAGCGGTCTTGAGTGTAATACCAATCGAAACGTGGGAGTGAATGGGCTTCAACAAAGATGATTTGATAGACTCGAGAATACGGTTGTCAGCTGCCAACAAAGGGGCGCTGCGGGTGATAGGCAGAACACCAATAATAGCCCTAAATCTAGGGGAACGCAATCTGTGGATGAGCTTTCTTGTGGTAGAAAACCTAGATGAGTCTGACCAGTTCATTTTAGGCAGGGACTTCATCAGGAACTTCGACGTAACAATTGATTTGAACAATGCGATGTTCAGGATAAGAAACCCTGATAGGAGGTACGCAATTAAACCGGTAAATTTAATAATAGCGATTGAAAATAAAGCACCGGTATTCTTGAGTAGGAGGGTGAAAAAAAAGGCGAACGAAACGGCAATCGTAAGCTTGCGAATGAAAAGTTACAATGAACTAAGTGACAACAAGCAAGTATGCATAGTCCCGAATCCTAATAGTCAAAGTGCTGCTGTTTTAGGAAGATCCTTCTCTATAACCAAGAGCGGTCTCTGCGTCAGTGTCTTGTTGAATACTCTTGATGTACCCATCACGATACAGAGGGGGAGGAAGCTGGGATATGCTTTACCCGTAAAAACTTGACTGAAAATTCAAAACAAAGTGGACAAAATTTGTATCTTGAGATGATTGAAGAAAATAAAAGATTCATCAGGTCTTGTGAAATCAATTAGGTCAGAGACAGACGATGGGCTATCGAGCTGTTCGAATTTTCCGGAACGGCCCACATTAGATGAAATGCAGAGTGATAAACCGGTCCTACCGGAGATCGAACATTTAAGGGGCAAGTTGACGGACGAACAGCTCGAAGCCATCAAAGACGTACTAGAGCGGAACGAGAAAGTTTTTTCGAGACATAAGGCAGACATCGGATGTTGTAATTTTGTTGAGCATGAAATAGAAATTGAAGAGAATGCGGTACCACACAGGGAGGGGGCGAGGCGTATGACCCCCCACAAATCAGAGGCATTTAGGAAAGAAATAAAGACATTACTAGAGTATGACATGATAGAACCATCCAAGTCACCGTGGGCGTGTGGAGTAGTGATGGCCAAAAAGAAAGGCGACCAATTGAGGTTTTGCTTTGAATTTCGGTATCTGAACTTCGTCACGGTGAAGGATATGCCTATCCCATACCTAGGATTGACGAGAGCCTCTCGAAGTTAGGGGACGCGAATTTTTTTACAACTCTTGATTTAGGTTCGGCTTTCTGGCAGGTCCCGCTGAGGAAGCAAGACAGAGACAAAACAGGGTTCGCTTGCGAGTTGGGGCTGTTTCAATGGAAAAGGATGCCGTTTGGTCTTTGCAATGCCACAGCCACGTTTCAACGGTTGATGGCACATGCGCTGATAGGTGTGACAAAGAAGTACGGCAATCTGATAATGTGCCTTGTGGATGACGTGGTAATAGCGACGCCCACACTAGAAAACCACATCGAGCGACTGGACGAGGTGTTTGCATGTATGAAGAGGTCGGGGCTAAAGTGTAAACCGTCAAAGTGCGAGATACTCAAGGATTCGATAAAATACTTGGGCAGAATGGTGGATAGGCACGGCATCAGACCGGATCCAGATGCATTGGAAGCAGTTCTAACTTGGAAATCGCCAAAAACGGAACACCATTTGATGAGCTTCCTGGGTTTCGCGAACTACTACAGGGAATTCATCAAGGGCTATGCGGACAAAGTATACCCGATGCAACAATTAATGAGACACAAAGGCAAAAAGTTCACATGGAACAACGCAGCAAAAAAATCATTCCAGAGAATAAAGAAAGAGTTGTGCGAGGCACCGGTGTTAGGGATGCCAACGGAAAAAGGTATGTACGTGTTGGATACGGACGCGTCGGTAGTCGCGATTTCTGGAATTCTCCATCAAGAACAAGAATGGAACGGGAAGACAGTCTTAAGACCAATAGCGTACGGGAGCAAAGTCTTGAGTGATACAGAAATGAAGTACGGGGCGCCGAAAGCAGAGATGTTCGCGGTGGTTACTTTTGTCAAGAAATACAGAGCATATTTAGGCAGTGAGCCATTTAAGCTGCGGGTCGACAACAGGGCACTCAGCTGGCTGAAGACGTACTCGATGGACCAGAGCTACATTGGGAGATGGATAGTTCGCTTGAATGGGTACAACATGATAATTGAGCATAGAACAAGGGACAAACATCAGAATGCCGATAGATTGAGTAAGAAGACGGAGTTCTACGAGAGATAGGAACAGAGAGAGGCGGACAGGCCTGAGATTAAAGATGGCTTCTCCTTCATGGACAAAGAAACGTATGACAGTCTTCCACTCACGAGATGGCTAGACAAGTCAGGCAAACCGATAGAAGATCATCCCGAATACTCAGAAGAGGCCCAAAAGCAAACAACCTTGAAGAAGAAACGAGGGATACCGATAGAGATAATGCTCAAGTCAAAGATCGTGAGAGAGACGCTCAAGGCAAATTGTTATGATCTCAACCAGGTGGAAACGGGAGATACTCAGGTAGATGAAGACTTGTGGAGATTACTTAAGAAACTGGCAGATGATAAACCCGTGAACGTAGGAAAGGGTAGGGAGGAACCGGAAGTCACGATACTGCGAAGGAGTGAAACAGTTGGCAATGCAGACTCTCCAAGAGGAAGCGTTACTGATGGCAAAGAAGTCGTGCGGTCACTGGTTGACAAAATCCCTGATAACATTCTTGAGCGGACTCAGGTTAGGAAGAAGAAAGTGGCGTTTAAGGAAGAAGCTGAACACCTGGGACTAGGTCAAGAGTCCGGGGGAGTGGTCCACGTCCACGGAAGAAGAGAAACCGGAGAAGAGAAATTGTCGGGGGAGTGTGAAGAATGGGATGAAGATTCGGAAAAGAGCAGCGATGATCAGGATAGTCTATGCATGATACTGGCAGAGGAGAAGATGAGACACCGCGACAGGGAGTTACAAACAGATCCCTCCTCAGGAACGTACAACTCGGATGAACAAGAAGTACAAGGAGATGAAGAACTTGAGAAAATTGCGGTATCGAAGAAACCATTCAGGGAACTATCATGCAACTCAAATGTCAGAACAAATCTGGAGCCAGAAGATGATAAGAAGATTGTGAAGAGGATAATATGCGTAAAGCTGAATGATGACATCCACAACCCTGGGGAAATGAATGGACAGATCATGGCACTAAAGGAACATGTCAAAGCGAGATATAGGCTGTCGGACCTGATAAGAGCCCAAAAGAATAACAAGATGACAAGTAACCTCTCCAAATGGATCCGGACGGGGTCCAAGGAGAAAGGGGAAAACGAAGAAGACAGCTATAAGATCTTGAGCCAGTTCTACAAAGAAAAGAAAGATTTACTCTATCACACTGCTGACGGGGTGGTAGCGTGCAAGAGAAAAGATGAGGAGAAGACATTACACAAGCACAACCTCATCATATTACCACAATTGTATCAGACGGAGGTGTTATTCCGATCGCACGATCAGATGGGGCGCCAGGGGATAGACAAAGTGCAACAGAGATTACTTCGCAGGTTTGATTGGCCAGGATTGAGGAAAGCTTGCGAGAGATGGGTGAATGCATGCCTGGCATGCCTGCAGGTAAAAGACCCAAGGAAGATAAAGTTCCCACTCAATTCCGTTGAGAGCTCGGAGTTTAACGAGGTGGTGCAGATAGACCATCAAAAGATCTGCATGACGGAGTCGGGATATAACCAGATACTGTTTATAATAGATCACTTCACAAAGTTGGCAGAAGCAGTTCCGTGTCAGACAGCCTCAGCTGAGGAGACTTGTGACCACCTGATAACGCATTGGATATCACGATATGGTTGTCCAACGACTTTTCAGTCAGACAACGACAAAGCCTTTGTGGGGGACTTGACAAAAGAATTGATGAAGAAGTCACACATTGCTCGAGCACACTCGACAACCTACCATCCTCAGACCAATGATCTGGTAGAGAGACAGAATAGAACGTTGGTGAACATGTTAAGGGTATACTGCTCAAGATACATGACGGACTGGGATAAATATCTGCCGCAAGTCGTTGGGGCATACAACAGTACGCAACACTCAACAACGGGCATCAGTCCTTTCATGATGTTGACGGGCAGGGAGAGAGCAATGCCCCTGACATTCTTTTACCCGGAATACGAAGGGAAGAGTACATCGCCATAAGCTTACGTGAAAGGAGCGATTAGGAGACAGCAGGAACTAAACGAGCTCTGCAGGAGGAACACTGCGCAAGCACAAATGAGACAGGGCAAGAAACATGATGAAAAGATATTACAGGCAAAGCCATATTAAGTGGGCCAGTACGTGTGGGTCTTCCAGAATGTCATACCGCCCAAAGGGACAAAGAAACTACTTAAGAAATGGAGAGGACCATTCATGATAACGGAAGTACATCAACAAGGACGGTTCTACCGCTTGAGTACGGGGCGAGCAGCACATTATGAAAATCTGAAGCCTCACGTCCCATCCCCAGAGGACTGGTGTATACCACAGGACATGGAGGGACTTGAGTACCTACTGGTGGAGCCAGCGTGTGAAGTAAACGAGAAAGGCACCAGAGAGAAGAATGATGGCAACGAGAACTTGAGTTTGGATGACAATGAAAAGATAGAAGCGGACTCTGAGGCGGAATCCTTTGTGGAAGAAGACTGGAACGATCCGGAGCAGCGTGAGGTACCGAAGTGGACAGAACCGGACTTACCAATACCAGCGGCGACTAGGAGTTGCAATCGCAAACGGACAGGCATGAGGTACAACAGGTACGGAGATGATTTCCTGATTGATAAGATACAGCCCGATGACCTAAGCAAAGAGCTACTAAGTGTGGGCGAACTGGCAGCCGATGATGAATGGCAAATTATCAATGATAATGAACACTACCCGCAGGAAGACTACTCGACACCAGAACGGGAGACAGATTTGGAACAGATTGAGATAGAGAGGAGGGAGAATACGAACTTGAAGATATTAGAATGGATGCGCGATGTCAAGAACGGAAGCGGCGAAGGACAAAGCATACAACAAGTTGACGTATCAGCGGGAAAGCACGTGAAAACGGAGGATCCACTCTTCGGCTGGATAGCAACAGACAGGCCGCTCGAGATTCCACCAGATAATTTAGACCCAGCACCATCGACGGGGACGTCGATAATAATTTTTGTCCGGGGAGTGGGGGTAGGACTTACCCACACCGAAAATTTGATGATAAAGAAACTCAGGGAAGTGAGAGAAACTAGAGGACTGGAACTGGATGGGGAGGAGGCTGAGCCTACCATAGGACGGAATTTCAAAAGGAATTTTGAAATACTCCACGAATACTTGGAGAACATCCTGATATCCTGATAACGTATAGCGACTTCATTCTGTCGGACAGGACCAGCGCAATCTGTATCACGGCGGACATGAGTTTCAAATCAAGACTGGAGGCCGAATTCAAGAGAGAGTACCAGAACGTGGAGTTTCTGTTTAGACAGAGACCGGGGCTGGGGGGAATGGCTGCGCTTCCACCATCAGTAGCACAAGTCCCAGGCAAATACCTGTGCTTCTTAGTGACGAGGGTCAGCGAGAGGAACACGATCGATCCTGAACACGTGATGCTGGCACTAACGAGACTGCGGGACTTCATGATCGAAAGAAGAATAACGGAGGTCTCAATGCCGGTCTATGACCCGAACAGGGGCAAGCTGAGCCCAAGGGAACTATATGCTATCCTACACATGGTCTTCGCAGAAACGTAGATAATGGTACATCTGCACAAGAAATACTACCTGAGTATCGCCTAAGTCAGGTACATGAGGGTCTTGAGTTGGGCATAAAGGGATCTCAAGTTAGGGTTGGAGTACGGAACAGGTAAAAGGATCTTAAAAGTGAATGGCATGACAATTAAATTTTAAATGATTGATGGTGCTAAAACATAAAATGAATCTGCATGCTCTTAGAAAACTCCCAATTGAATTATTTTAGTAGAACGAAAAATATAAGGTTTTAACTATAATGGCAGGGGGGTTTAGGTTAGGAACATAGCATATCAGTCTAAAGATCAAGTTTTATTTTCAGATTGATTTGGTAAAGTCAAATTGACTACCCAACTATACTCAACTGAAAGAAAAAGAAGGTCTTGAACGAACCCACAGTCAAAGAACACTTGAAGAAGTTAATTCTCAAGTACTCAAGTTGGTACGGTAATTCTCAAGTGGTACGGTAATTCTCAAGTGGTAAGGTAACTCTCAAGTGGTAAGGTAATTCTCAAGTTGGTACGTGCGCAAGATCATCCAGAAAATGGCACATCGATTTTGGAAGTCAATGCCCGCGGCCCTGAAGAGGCCCACGCTTGATGAACTATACAGACGCTTGAGGGATCTGGATTATACCCAAGTGGATGAGAGAATGGCGGTGATGCTGAACGCCATCCTCCAAATGGAAGAGCAGGGTGAATGCAGGGAGTCTGCAACAGAAGCGGTTCTAATGGTCGGCTACACCACTGATGGAATATCCAACCAAGAGCAAACCAGATGGCTGTCCTGGAATGTGGATGGAGGAGTGGGGGGATTCGACTTGGCGAGGAATCCTGGCTTGAGCAATAACACCGAGTATGGCGCAGGGGAGTTCCCACTACCAATCAGACCATCTCAGACCATCAGCAAGATCAGCGGGCCAGAGCACGAGTAAGACACCCTCTATGACGCGAGCGCAGCAAACGGAAGAGGCGTATCCGGACCTCAGTAGTCTGAAAAGAGAACTTGAGAGGACACAGAGGGAGAGGAACAAGGCGAACCTCGACCGGGATCAAGCGAAGCTCGAGAGAGATCAGGCGAATCTGGAGAGAGATCAGGCGGTCATTGAAAAGGACCAAGCGCGGAGGGAACTCGATATGCTGAAGGCCGAGCACCAGCAAGAACAAAGGGTGCGAGAGAATGCCGCGAATTGTGAACAGCTGAAGTCGGAACTTGAGAGAATCCAGCGGCGACAGCGCGAGCTCGACATGCAAAAGGGAGCCAGGCCCAAGGAGCGAACGGCCGCCGGTTCAAGACCAGAGTCGCGTATGGAGGTGGATGAACCTCCCAGATCGAAGGGACGGTTTAACCTGACCGCGCGGCTCAGGAACACATGAACGAGGGGTTGGAGGTATGGATACCGACTGAGTCAACGTCCTCCCTGCATGGTCTAGAGACACAACCGATACGCCCATTGATGGACGTCGCATTGCCGGGGTATACTCCGAGTTCAACCCGGAGCAGCAATCAGGTGAGCGGGAGCTCGTCACGTCTGAAAGAATTGAATGCGAGACTACAGCTAAGAAGTCGCGAGAGTCCAGCAAGAGTGGAGCTACCCCCGACTTGGAGGGAGCAACCGATCAGGAGTGTGGTAATCTCAAGTTACAAGAAGAACACGGAGGGCAGGTACCACAGGCACAATCGCATGGATTGGAGCACAGCACAAAGAGTCAGGAGGGATTGCTTCCATGACGCGGCTTGGGTGGAATACCATACACAGCCACGTGTACCAGAGGGTGCGGTCCACCTAATCATAGGGGACAGCCTGCTGCGGGTGCTCACCCGGATTCAGTCGCATTGGCAGACTGGGATCTTCAGTTTCGCTGGAGCTGCGATGCCACAGATATTGGCATCACTTGAGATGCTAGGGATGACAAGAGTATACACGGTAACTCTAATGATCGGGACTAATGACGTGTCCAGGGGGGAGTCAAGGAAGGTTATGAGGCTACATGACAAGATGAGCTGCATCCTTGAGGAGTTGCGGATTCAAATGAATTCTGCCATGCTCACAGTGTGTACCGTTCCCTACAATAAGGTGGCTGACCAACACGCGATGGAAATGAATACGAAGGAACAAAACCTGAACGAAGTAATCAGGCAAATACATCAAAGGAGTGTCCTTCCCGTTGGATTGCTGGATGTAGCCGAGCAAATGGAGCAAGCTACTTTCCCCGACGATGCATCCTCAGACGGAATCCATTTCGACAGGCCTAGGGGAGTGGAATGGTTGAATGACGTTTTCCAAAGGCACTTAAGCGCGTTGGAGGCAGAATTGCTGCAGACGGCCCAATTCACATTCGGACCACCTCCAAATCCACCGTTCCTCGCCTCGAGAACTCTATCCAGTCGCCAGGAGGCGAGGGTCGATTCTACATACAGCTTGAGAAGTAGCCGGACCAGATTACCAGGTGCCGCGCCGATGGAGGCCGAGGAAGCAACGTCGTCAACACCCCAGAGTTCGGTAGTGTCCTCGGTGGTAGTGGTGGAGAGCAAGAGGGTGGAGAGACCGGCGGAGACAAGCCGGTCGAGATATCTGGAGAAGGTAAAGGAGCTGGACTTGGAAGACCTGGAATGTAAACAGGAATTGGCGGAAGCTCTGGGTCTCGAGCGCGTGTCACACGAGGACTTAAGTAGACACCAGTGCGTGGAATGGTTGAAGGCTCACGAGACGCATTTCTCAAGAGCGAGAATAATGGAGACGGCGGATCTGACTGGGATTCCCACAAGATCAGTCATGGGACCTATCAATTTCAGGCCTCTCAAGTTGCTGGGGAGTCCGGGGCTCATTGTGGAACCCCCTAAGCACCGAACGAGCATTGCCAGAATCAGGTTGGCAACTCCAGCGCAGTTGAAGATGGTGGACAAACTATTGGACCCAAGATAAATGGAACTGCCGGATGCCGCTTACGAGGGTACGAGATTGGCGGACGACCCTAGATATGGGAAACCCTGCGGGAACGCCCAATTGGCCAAAAACCTTGGCAGTTTACGACAGAGCAGATCCAGCTGCCGAAATATCGAACTTCGCCAGACAACTCAAGTTCAGTCCGGCTATAGGGGACGACCACCCAATAATAAATCAGTTGACGGCCAGCTTGTGGTTTCGAAGCATGGACTTGACCATCACGAGCTCCACCAGTAAGTCGAGGGGACCAAGTAATGAAAGAAAAATTGTGGCTGCAACAGAGAAGCAACTGGAGTCGATGGTGTATCGACTGACGCAAGAAAGAGGCAGGTGGCCGTTCCTAACACCAAGGTTGGAAAATGCCACAGAGAAGACAATGGAGAATGCCCCACCTCTTGTGAAGCACATCTGGAATTTTCTTGAGGAGCAGTTGGAAGTGGCCGAGAGTAGAGAGATCACGGTGACCAGGTTCGTCACAGCTGCAAACGAGGCCACAATCGGAGGATTGTGGAGGAAGCACGCAAAGGGCGAGCTGAAGACAAGAACAAACCACGAGATTCTCAAGTTCTTGAGTCCTTGTTGGGAGAAAGAATTCAAGGCTGGAGTGTTCGGTGCAAAGGAAACAATTTTTGGAGCCTTTGTACAAGAAATACTGAGCATGGCCATCAGCCTGCTGTTGGCACTGTACCTAGTTTGCCCGAGGTACCTATTCAACATGGGTCCAGCGTATATGTTCAGTCGGGGTGTGGAAATACTACGGGTTGACGGATATCTGGCACTGGTGCTCCTGACCCATGGTGAGCTGGTGTCATTTCATCGACTGACGAAATATGGGGAGCCCCTGTCGATGGGGAAAACCACCCACTCGAGCATCGACACCTACTCATATAAATGTGCTGCGGGATTAAAGACGCTGCTGGTGGAGTATCTCCTGATGCAGAATCGACATATGACTGGTGAGGAAAAGAATTCGAAAACGAAAGACGAATGCATACAAGTGAATGGTGGCATGCCTCTATTGACAGACCTGTGCCTGGCGATGAGATCGGACCCAATGGGGATAATTCGGGGGCTGGAGGAGGTCGTAACCTGCATTTACGGTCCAGCTGTAACATACGCGTTTCCAGATCCTCTAGTGACGGCTTACCGCAACTCCGTGACACACTTGAGCCTCATAAGTGTGCTGGATGGGACGGCGCTCAACTGGAGTCAGCAAGAGGTGCTGAGGGCGCAAATGAGTAACACGGTACTCTTTGGAAAGGTGAAAGATCCCGAGTTGATGGTATACAATTTCCGAGGGCAACTGCAGTGCAGGATGGGGGGAAACGTGAAGGCCCCATCGAAACTTATCCCAAGTTCTGGAACTTCAATCCCCTGACGGCGAGTGGACAAGAGGTCTTGAGGATTCCCGCGTGGAAGAAGAGCTTCGAGTTGGTGAAAAAGGAGCTAGAGACGATATTAGAGAAGGAAATCTTGCCAGCAACCATTCTCGAGTTCCCAACGGTCAGGAGAATGACCCTGGGAATGAACAGTTCCCTGGTGGTCCCTTCCCAGTTCGCGAGAGCAGCGGCGGAGAGGCAGCAAAGAAAATTCACCGATGGCTGGGATCCCCTATTCATCGGCTACACTGCAGCGGTCTATTTTCACACCTGTGACATAAAAATAAACTCCTGGACGACTCAAGCGAAGAAGATGAGAGGCTCATTGCCCCACAAAATTCGAGGTACGAGAGAATTGAGAAAGCTTGATCGGGCGGGTTTGGAGAACATGTTGCCGGTGTGGGACGATGGCAGGATGATTGTAGAAGAAAAACACATTGCACTAAAAGACTAAATGAAGTTTGCCATGAATAAATACCGGGCACCTTACGGACTGGAGCAGGTGGAGATGAGACAGGAAGGGAAGGAGCTGGATGCAGCAGGCCCGTTGTATGTGGCTCTGACGGAATACAAGAAACCAGGTCCAACGACACCATCACCCCTGTCGGTGGGCACCCCTGGAGATAAAAGAAGTGGTCCTGCAGAAGATCGGTTTAGGAGGATACTTGAGAGAAGGAGAGTCGAGTCAGGGGAAGAAAGCATGGATGAGACTCTCAGTGAGGCAGGAGAGGAGATTGAAGTGGGGAACACGCCTGAACCAAAAGCAGCAGAGGAGGAATTCGCCACTCAAGAACTGTTGAAGGATCTGAGCGGAGAATATTGGGCAGACACTGCCACGCCACCTCTGACATCATCTCCCCGCAAGAATCTAGAGTTGCCACTGACGACCGAGACTTCCAATATGGGAATGATACTCTTGAGTGCAGAAGAAAGAGAAAGAATACCTTCGAGAAAAACAAGACCATGTTCCTAGGGACTCTAGATGAGAACGCTTGGCGAGAATTCTTGAGAGAGTTTAATCGAGAAGTGAATAGCGAGATCACACTAGACGATTTCAAAGAAGAACTGTGGGACACGGTGGTGAAGTTCGGAGAACCTGTCCTCATGGGAACAGGTCTGGAGTAAAAAGCAAGAGGAGAGCTGCTGAGCAAGATGGTCGAGTTGAGAAAGGCACCACTGAAGACCAAAGAAGACGAATGTAAAGACAGCTTTACTCTGAAACAAAAAACTGTCAATAAAATAACTGAAGGTGTAAGGGGGATAAGGGGGGTAATATAATTAAAAGTACTAATATCCTTAAGGCTCGATCAGGGGGGAGGCAAGAGTTGGAAGGGTTGGAAGGAGACAAAGAGGTCGAATCAGTGATGATAACGGCAACGCCCCCAAGTAAAGACGTGAAGTCTCGCAAGAGAAAGAGAGAGCTAGAAGGGTTGGGTAGTCCCTCGGCGGATGCAGTCTCGGAGAAAAACATGAGAGAGACGGACCCCATGGTTCTGGCACGATGGAAGACAGCAGCCTACAAGAGTAGCTACGAACCAAGGAAGTTGCTCGAGGTAAAAAGAGAGATGGAGGTTCCCACCAACTCGACAACGGAAGAAGACTTCAAGCCTCAGAGGACGTAGATGAAACGAGGTTCGACGAGCGGGCACACATGGGAAATAGACTTTGGCAAAGAATGGGTCTCAAATGAATATCAGGCCACTGGGAAGCAAGTAACTAGTGGTCCTCCTGAGAAGAATAAAACGAGGAACACCTCCCGGCCGTGGTGGGTGGCCCTGGAAACATTGAAGGAACTGGAAGACTGCCTAAAGAAACTCGACAGTGGAGTGTCACGCAAGCGACGCAACTGGGCTACCCAGCAGAAGGCTGAGATTAACAAATTAGAACTGGGGAGCCAACTGAAGAGAACTTGTCAGAACTTGTTATGGGATCATTTCGAAGAAGCGATGAGGACATCCTCATCGGCGTCGCCGTTGATGGCAAATCCCTTCGTTAGAACAGCAGGAAAGTGATGTTCGCGTGGAGCCTGGTGGGAATAGAATTAGAAACG